ACTATTTATATATTAATTTACAAGTGTTAACATTTACTAATTTTTATTTTTTTATTAAATTATTGCGTTGTATGTATATGGTTTCTTCATTAGTTCTCACACTCAAAAGATCTCCGATTTGAGGAAAGTAAGTTATGCAACTCGTGCTTTGTCTTATCAAATAATACTTCCACCACTGTCATCACAATCCACAAAGCCCAAAATAACCATAAATTATTATTTATTATTGTTATATTATTCTAACATATATTAATACCTGACCCGGCATCCGTCGTTATTTTATTTCTTACAAAAAAAATAAATAAATCATATGAATAATATTTAAAAGTATGTATATACAATTATTTCAAAAAAGAGGAAAATCAATAAAAATGCAATCGAATCGAAAAAATTGGTAAAAATGTTTATATTTTAATTCGTACTTGCATGGAATATAACCTACTATGTATAACCTACTTAGCAATAAATCCGTATAATAAAATAAATATATTGCAAATGCAACAACTTCCGAAGCCTACCTTTAACAATACATTTATTATAAAAAAAATTAACTATATGTATGGTTTCTAGAATTTTAACAGGCTGTTATAGATCAACTTAAATTAAATAATCTGGATTTAAAATAAAAAAAAATAGCTCACTGACAAAAAATTATCTGAACTTTAAAATAATTTTTTATCTCTAACTTCAGGTAAAAGATTCGTTAAAATTTCAGTTTAGCTTAAACTTATTTAAATTAAAGGTTGGTAAATTGGTAATTTGTTAGCCAATCAATGTATTAATTATATCTAGGAAAATCTATTAAAGAATATGTATCTATATATAATAGTATCATGATAGTATTAATGTATGTATTTATTTATATATATTTATATGTTACCGGCAATATGAATAATCCGGTATTTTACAAAATGCCTAGGCATTATACAAAATGTCAAAAATCACTCGACAATATACATAATATGAGTTTTATCTATGTATTATGTATAATGCCAATCGTGGAGTAGGCAATATGAAGAAAACAAACAAAATTGGGCATATTAACCAACGACTTTACTTATCGTTTATCATAAATGTGCGTTCACGATTTAACACAATAAAGATTAATATTCTTTGATACAATATTGAACGTACTAATATTTGTAATTTCCCTCGTAATTTTTGTGTCTCGTTTTGGTGTTGCAACTATGCATACGATTTATATGAAGTATATTATTAAAACAAATTACCACTACCTAATACTAGTTTTTTATCTGATGAACAGTATAATGAGTTAATAAAAATTCAATCCACAAGAATTGGCCAACGATTTTTAAAATGTGTTTGTAAGTCCAAGTGTCAAAATAAAAAAAGTATTTGCCTTAAAAATAATATTTTGTGCACTTCCAAATTTCACTTTTCTACAACATTTTATAATAATTAAATAGTAGTTAGAGTAAAATATTTTATATAATAATAATAATATAATAATAGATAAAAATAAAATGTTGTTTGTAATATGAGTAATAATGTATAATAATTATAAGAATCTTAATGTAATATAAGTAACATATAATAAAATGTTTTGTACTTTGCTTAAAAAAAGAATTGGCAGTTTGCATAATGCCTAGGTATTTTAAAAAACACCTGAATTATCCATATTGCCGATAACATTTATATAATTAAATGTGTCTATATATACTGACTGAATTACTGATTAATTTGAAATTTTGTGGAAATGTACTTATTCATAATATTTTTAATAATACTATATATGGAGGTATCAAGAAAATAATTTTTAAACTTTGCATTTTTAATGTCGAAACATCATAAGATATTATCACTCTGATAGTATAAACAATCGACATTTCGCAAGTATATATTAATGTTTGATTATATATAAAAATAATAATGCATAACCGTTGACTAAATGCCTGTTTTATATATTTTTTTAAGACTCACCTGACAATGATAGTCAATTAAGTTGGTAGTTTAATAAATTTATAAATTATATAATCCTATTTCGTTATAATATTTGCTTATATAATATATTCCTTTCTAAAAACTAGTATTTTGAAATAATTTTTTTTTTTTTTGGGGTTTTCCACAAATATTTACATTCACAGATACATTATTTTTTTTTATTTAAATGATATTTATTTTTGGAGAACAATAATGTAATAAAAGTGATTTAATTTAAATATTTGATAAAGGCCGTACCTACTAGCATAGGCATGCACAGACTTGTATATCAGGGGATGCCTACATAATACTTTTGTGCCCTATCTCAACAAAACGTATAGATATATTTAATAAATTATAATGTATAAATAATTAAGTAAACAAATCTATACATTTTTATTTAATATTGTGATATATAAGTCACGATGAATATTTTTCTGGGATAGGTAGCTTTAATTATTTATGATTTGTATTTTTGTTCTCAATTGTAACTGTCAAACTATCATGAGAAATTTTTTCACGAAAATTTAGAAAATGTAATTTATATTTTTCTATTACGAAACATAATTTATTTTCTACCAAATATTTTAGAATAAATTACATTTAACTTGAGCATCATCAATTAAAATACGGGCTCCTTACTCTAAGACTTAAATTTTAAGGCCTCACAACATTTGTGGGGTGTCTGCCCCCCCCCCTATTCGTACACACGCTTATATCTGCTAACTACTTCAAAATTTAATTCTACCAAATTGTATAAATAAATTGACAGTTTTTTTTTTATGAAATTGAAATATACCCTCATAATACTAGTAAATAATTATTAACTAATATATATTGGCTTTACAATTTTTTTCTTCCGAGTAAGATTTTTTTTTGAAGACCCCTATGATCTTTATAAAATTATTATATTTAACACTATTAAATTTGATTAAAGCAATGTGCTTAGTCCTCCTGTTTAAAGCACAACTTATAATAAAATGCATGTTTGTATGCAGTGGCGTATTCAGGATTCATTTAACAGAGGTGTTTTAAAATTTAGTTGACCAGTACTTGTGTATGGCAAATTATACTGTAAGTTTGCAATTTGGTGAAATACCATAACATACGGTCGATGGGGATGTTATAAAACCCAAATCACTCCCCTAAATACGTCCCTGTTTGTATGAATATAAATTGATAATTAATTCATACAACTATTTTAGTACAAGCTTCTAAGGAAAATGTATGAAATAATATTTAGAACAAATTAATGTTCAGCCTTAGTAGCGGCGCCAGATATTTTTTATTGGGGGGCGATACGGGGGCAAATTATTTTCTGGTGGGGAATTTATGTATCGCTACTCGATCACCCACTAATTTGCTTATATTATATTAAATAATCCAAAAAAAAATTAAATAATTAATTAATAAAATTTCTGTTTACTTACATATTTTTAACATATTGGAACCAAAATAGGTATAAGGTATAACCTAAAGTACTTAAAATATGTTTTATATAAACTTGTAAGTAATAAGGTTATATGACTTATGTTATATAAAATGTGTTATATGAACATTCATATAATTACTTATTTTATTTTATTATTATATTATATTTAAATATCAACATAACGTTAGTTATTAGTAGTAAATGAATAGGTATAAATAATTACAAATTATTAGGATAGTATTATTTTTTTATTTTTATGAATCACATCAAATTTATCTACAACCATATCTAAAATGCTCGATAATCAATATAAAATGCATTTTAGATTAAAATGTTCAATATTAAATTTTAGGAGGGGCAAAAAGGGGCATTTGCTCACCCTGGCCCCAGTGTAGTGCCGCCCCTGTTCAGCCGTATGGGTATAACATTATATCTATGATATAACAGATATAAAATTATTGTATATCTTACTAAATAAGTGCGACATTTGAGGGGGAGGTATAACCTGTTAACCCCCACCATAACACTGCCTTTAAGTATTTGATTATTGAAAAAAGAGGTAGTTATAAATTGGTAGTTTTTGAAGTGCATTATTTTTTTTAACCCCTCCCTATAACAAATTTGAATATATGCCATCAAGGGCGCCCATATGGAGGGGTAAGGGACATGTCCCCCCCTGGAAAATGTCAAAAATCTTGGAAAATTGTTTACCATGATCAGAATATATTTATTTAAAAAGAATTTAAAAATTTAATTTAATATATGAAAATTTATAATTTGTTTATGAAAAATCTATTTAGTTTGGAAAATCAGGTTATTAGCTATAAATAACAATATGCTTTTTTGTTTCTATTCTATGGATAATTATCAATTCTTAAAATATTGTGTATTTCCAGAAATACGGTACCTATGTAAATGTGTGTGTGTACACCACCATAATATTTATATAATATTTGTAAATTAATATTTTAATAAATATAACTGATGTTTTAAGTATCCAATTTATATTATTAATTAAATAAGAATTTCAATAAATTACTTTTATGGTATATTGGTTAAAAAATTATTATTTTATAGTCTTCCAGTTTGATATAATATATCAATATATATATAGGTATATATTATATAATGTAATAGTATAATAAGTATAATGTAAAATTGTAAACCCCTTCCTATATTGTAGGTCATTCCTATTTATGAATAGAGTGATAAATTAAAATGTTTGTCCCCCTCTTGAGAATTTTCATATGGACGCTCTTGTATGTCACTGAGTTTATATCAATGTATAGATTTTAAAACATAAAATATAGTATTTTTTTTAGATAAACATTTTAAGAAATATTTTTTTTTCTTGTAGGGTGCTATTATCTCGCGGGACTCTACAAATATATTATGTCACATGGATATTGAACAGCAATTTAATCCTATCCTAGATGAAATATTAATTGAAAGGGTAGTTGGAACAGATAATCATGAGTTTATAAAAATGGTAATAATTAACCAAAATTATGCTTTAAATTAAATGTTATAAAGTCTTACAGTTGCTATTGATTTACTAAACTAGTATATTTCCGAAGAAATGAAGAATTATGGTTGGACCATAGAACTAGATGAATTTAAAGCCTCTACTCCAAAAGGAATTTACAATATGACTAATGTTGTGGCTACTTTAAACCCTTTGGCTGATCGGTATATAGTTGTCGCTTGCCATTATGACTCCAAATTAATGAAATTTATATTTGTGGGAGCAACTGATTCAGCAGTACCTTGTGCCATGATGATGTACATGGCAAGGTCTTTGAACCAACAACTTGAAGCATTTAAAAACTCTGTAAGTTTACTTTGAATTATCTAATATTAAATAACTTAACAATAAATAAATGCAGATGACATCATTTTTAAGGGCCTAGATTAAATAATTTTAACTTCAAGAAATATTCTAATGCTTACAGAACCTTAATTTATAGGATCCCTATTAAGTCTTATTAATGGATCCCCAAGTAAACTATTAAATTACATTTTTAAATTGTAATTATTAAAATGTATTTATAACTTTTATTAATCATCATTTAATATTATTTATTTATTATTTAAATCACTTTTGTATAAATAGCAATTAATAGCTAAATTAAAAGTTAATGATTAAATAAACAAAATTAAGAAATAAATCAATTTATGATTATCTGAAATTAGCTTTTCATTTCACAATTGATTATTATATCTAAAAGTAAACATATAGGTTCTATATTAAAAAAACTATACTAAAATATTTGCATTTGATCGTAAGGTATGATGACTAGCTTTCTGGTCAATAACTATATTTTATATGTCATTTTATTTAATATTTTCAAATATTGATTAATGATAACACATTGTAGTACATTTTTTTTTTCTTGAAATATTGTGGTTATTTGATTTTTGTGTTATTTTACTTAAAACCATGCATTTTTATCATATTTTATTTTATAAATTAAAATAATTGAAAACTTAATTAAAGAAATTAATACTTATTTTTGTAAGGAATACATTTCTAATAATTTATATTTTTATTTTTGACTACAGTTTTAAGCACAAAGAATATTGATATAATTAATAATATTGATAAATAAGTGAGTAATAATATAATAATTTCCAAATTAATAACACTATTATAAAATATTTAAATTATTTACATATAACAAAATGGCTAATACTTTATAAAAAAAATTAAGTATAAATTATATCTATATAATTAGTATATAAGTATTTGTTTATGTGCACCTCGTATTTCACTCTATTTCAACATAAGAATATGAAGTTTTAATGTATTAATAAATTAGTAATGGCTGTTTTTTGTGGCACATTATAACAGTGATTAGCCATGACTGACTTTTTGTGTTATGGTTAAGCTGCATCTGTTGTTACTAATTTTTAAACGAAAGACTGCATTAAAATGTAGTATATCAAACACTTGTGAACTTACTTAAAATATTGTTTTTTATACTAGAAAAAAATAATTATTATATATTTATATTTTAAAAAAGTTAAGCTTACTTATTTTCTATTGATTTTTTATATGCAAATGTAATTTTATCTGAGCACTAAATAATGTTTGTCATAAGATTTGCTTTTTGTTTAATCATTATTAGGGTTTGGATGTTTATGTGCATAAAAAGACTATTATATGTTTGCATTTGTGCATTAAAAAATTATTAAATTCATACAAAATAAAATTTAGTACTAAAAATTAAAAATATATTATAATTTATAATTATTTAATTTTAATAGTTGTCATTTTTATATTTTATATTTTTTTAATAATATTTACTATTTTACAATATGAATATTACACTGTGACACAATAGTTTTTTTTAATTTGATCAAACAAATCTAAAAATTATATATTAGGGATAAACACAATTATATAAGTCAATAATTTATCATTTATATACCCGTCAATTTAAATTGTTTTTTAAATAAAGTTCAAAAATGTACCATAATCGGTATTTATATTCCTAAAATCCCAAAAATATGCAATTAAAATATAAAACTAAAAAAATTCAAAAATATACAAAATAAAAATAGTATTATTTGATTTAGTAAAACATAAATCAAATTTATATCCAAATCCGTATTAAATTGAATCAATAGAAGAATTATGCATTTTCATAAACATCCAAGTTAATCATCATTTATTAATCATTTAGCAAGTTAATGTAAGAAAATTTAATTTTATTAAAGACTAATACATTTATACAAGTATTATATTTATAAACTAAGATTTTTGTATGTATTCAATCACTAATAGGTTCATATGTTTTTTGAGTCATTCATAAAGTTAATGAGTAAATCTAATTCCTTATTTCCTTATCTTATTTTCATGTTGACGTGTATTCCTTGGAGTATATCTCATAATAAATTAAAATAATATATAATTTAAACTAATATTTTTGTTAAATTAATTTTTTTTTTTTTAATAATTTAGCCCTTAAGCTTGATGATGGTATTTTTTGATGGAGAAGAAGCATTTGTGAAATGGAACAAAACAGATTCTCTTTACGGTTCCAGACATTTAGCTTCAAAAATGGAAAATACCAAATTTTTTCACCGAGGTCGCCAATTGAATCAACTGTATAGAATTGTAAGTTATTTATTATCCTCCCCAATTTTATATCATTGAGTTATGGAATTCTTTTTTCTTTTTTTTTTCAGGAATTCTTAATGTTATTAGATTTATTGGGTACAAAGAATCCAAAGTTTTATAATTATTTTCCAGAAACAACAGACTTATATCAAAGTTTGATCAATGCTGAAACAGCTTTAAATACTACCGGTTGTTTTAACAATTATATTAATGTTTATTTCAAACCAAAGTCTGCAAATGTAGAAATTGATGATGATCATATGCCATTTTATGAAAAAGGTCAACATCTATTAACAAAAATACTTCTTTAAACTTATATGGCTTTAATTAATTAGATTTATTTATGTATATAGGGATTGAAATTGTTCATGTAATTCCACATCCATTTCCAAGTGTTTGGCATGAGAGCAGTGATAATAGAGAAGCATTACACATGCCGACAATACAGAACTTGATTAAAATTTTTCAAGTATTTCTACTTAGTTATTTAGAAAAACAGTAAACTAAATATTTTTGTTTACTATCTTGAATCTCATTTAGAAATAGAATAGAAAATTATATTAAATTTAAGATTTTAATTTTTTATATTTTTTGATATTTTTATGATTGTTATTTTAAATTGTTTACACTTAGATACATAAAGATTTATATATTATACATAATTTGTTGGGAATTAAAGTTTTTTAAACTAATTTTATTTTTTACTGCAAGTTTAATTAGTAAATAATATTTTTTTAAATATCTTTTAGTTTTATCACAATTGATAGTTGTTTTTTATTATATTTAAAAAATTAAAACTTCAAATAAAATTTAATATTTTATTTTATATTTTTTTGATATTTTTATGATTGTTATTTTAAATTATATACACCTTAATAGATTTATATATTATACATAATTTGTTGGGAATTTAAGTTTTTCAAACTAATTTTTTTTTTACGTAAGTTTTCTTAGTTAATAATCATTTTTTAAATATCTTTTAGTTCTATCACAATTGATAGTTGTTTTTGATTATATTTAAAAAATTAACACTTCAAATATAAATCTATGAATTTACATTATTGTGATAGTTGGCATAATAAAGCAACGCCTCTCAGTATCCAATGTTCTGGCTGTTTTGTTGTTGATGGTATCCATAAAGCAATAACAAAGTTTGTGGAATGTCCTGTTGTAGATAATGTGCCTTTTCTTTCGGCTGTTTTATACATGGGACACAAATAAACTGTGTTTAGCTTTAAATTTTCTTTTTCTATTGGTGTCATATGAATTATAGGCATTTTGTCATACAGTTGTTTTGGTTTAGACTCTTTGAGACTTGATTTTTTATTGCTCCATCTTGCTCCGTCCAAAAAAAGACCATAAACATAAACTCCATTTTCAGGAGTTGAGTTAATGACGATTTTTTTGTCCATTATCTAGAAAATAGTTATATTTTATAGCATTACATTTATTTATTAATATAAATAACCCAATTTTATTCATTATCAATGTAAAGATATTAGTGCACCAGTATAAGGAAAAATTCAACAATACAGAAAATTACAACTGAAACTATTGAACAGAATTTATTTATAGAATATTTAGTATGCTATGTTAGAATAATAATTGCCTTATAATATATTACTAAATATTTTAATAAGATATAATTATCAATATAAATGTTTTGTTGTGTTTACCTTAAAATCAAAAGTCAATAAGTCTATAGGTATTTTGAATTTTCTTGCAAAATTTTGTTGAGCTCCTGTCAAAAACGCTTGTGTAAAATAAAACCCAGAAATCCAAAATGAATTTGGAGTACCATGGATGTACCATTTCTAAAAAAATAAGGTAATTTTAAATTTTCAACGAAGTTTAAATTTCAATGAATGATAATTTAAATACAGACTCTGAACTATACCTGTAAAAAAGACAATCGTTGCAATAAATCTTTTATATAACTTCCCAATGGTTTTAATGATGGATATGAACTATTTGCCCAAATAAACGGGATTTTGTTTATTAAAATACTGTGATATACTTCTTCTAATTCGTTGGACATTAATATTAAACCTAAAAAAAAAAATTAGACTATATTAAAAATGTATTATATAATGCAAGTTTAAATAAACCTATTTGGTTGTACACATAATATGCAAATAAGATAAGCTATTAGTATTATTATTTGTTTATCTTATTTAAGAAGATGATGAATTGGTTAATAAAAACCAAGAAACTCTTAACCATACTCTTAGGGGACCTCAACTCGAAACATCAAACCTGGGGCTGTTTGAAAACAAACCAAAATGGTAACAAACTTCTCAAAGTCACATCAGAACAACGGATAATAATATCACCTCCCGCTAGTCCAACCTTTCAACGACCCGGAAGACAACCAGATATACTTGATATCGCTCTAATCTACAATTTCCCAATCAACTTACACCACCAAGTCCTAAACGAACTGGATTTAGATCATGTTCCTGTTATCTCTAGTATGAATAATCAAATAAAAATCAATCATCCTATTCCAAAGCTAATTAACGCCCCCGTAAAATGAGAAGCCTTCAGAGAAAATTTAGATAAAAACCTTAATAACCAAAAACAATATCAAAACATAGATGATATCAATAAAAGCATTGAGCATATAACAGAAGCCATAAAAATAGCAGTGACCCAAGCACAGATTAAAAAAAAAACACAGTAACATAATTCAGTCCACTGACTACCTCCCAATCATTATACAAAATTTAATCAAAGAAAAACACAAAGTAAGAAAAATTTGGCAGAGAACAAGAAATTTAAGAGTTAAAAGAAGACTAAACCAGTTAACTAGAAGGGTAAAGTGGGAATTAGATAACATAAGATACAACTCTTACAGTGCTTACCTGGAAAAAATCAATCGAATGACTCTAGTCTTTGGTTAGCTACAAAAAGAATACTTAAGCAGCGCAGTGTAATACCCTCATTAAAAAACGGAATAGCCAAATACGACACAAATGAAGAAAAGTCCGAAGCCTTCGCCGACTACTTCAAATCATGCTTCACCACGGAAGATGACACTCAACATCAAAACGAACACTTAGAAGAAATGTCGAACAAAACTAATCACGAGCATAACACCATTATTTAGCTAACATCCCCCAAAGAAATACAATTAATCATATCAAAATTAGCAAGCAAGAAAAGTCCCGATCATGATTTAATAACAAACAAAATTCTAAAAAATCTTACATCAAAAGTATTAACATACCTAGCCTCTCTATTTAACTCAACCATGCGTATAGATACCTTTACCTTTCCCCTTACATGGAAACATGCTATTATAGTCCCAATCCATAAACCTGGAAAACAAGCGAATTCTCCCACAAGTTACAGACCAATAAGCTATTACCAACTCTATCTAAACTATATGAAAGGATTTTACTGAATAGGATATTCCATTCTTACTAACCATTCTTACACATAATCCCAAAATACCAGTTTGGTTTCAAAACACAGCACTCCACATGCCACCAGATTCAACGTATATCAGAAATAATTGTACATGGCTTCAAAAACAAAAAATATACTACAGCAGTTTTTCTCGATTTAACACAAGCCTTTGATAAGGTCTGGGCTTGAAATAAAACTGAAAGCACCTAATCTTCCTATGTACCTGTTAAAAACCATCACATCTTTCATAACAGACAGAACATTCCAAGTGAGAATAGACACAGACTTATCTCTACAACACAAAATCAAATCTGGAGTCCCACAAGGATCAGTATTGGGGCCAACTCTTTTTAACATTTACTGCCAGGACATACCCAATCCCTCTAACTCTCAACTGGCAATGTTTGCGGACGACACTATAATCCTTACGCAAGATAGCGCATTAGACCTATCAATCGAAAAACTACAATCTTTATTAAATGAAATTACCTCCTGATTCAAAAAATGGAAACTGAAACTAAATCCGACAAAAAGTGTAGCTAAAATATTCACCTTAAAAAGATATAACGATCCAAGAAATATTAATATAAACAACCAGATTATACAATGGAATAGAAAAGATGACCCAGTCAAATACCTTGGTGTTTTCCTCGATGAAAAACTCACATGGAATATCCATATAAACAAAAAACTCACTCAGGGATATGTCAGGATGAGAATTCTCTACTCCTTAGTGAATTACAAATCAACTCTCCAAATGAAATCTTCTCTTCTTCTCTACACCACAATAATCAGACCACTGATAACTTATGCTTGTCCTGTATGGGCTGCTGCCTCTATGACTAAAATAAATAAACTACAAATCTTATAAAATAAATTCTTAAGGATATGTCTCAAAGCACCTTGGTTTATGAGAAACCGTCAGATCCATAATGACACGGGAATACCCCTGATAAATACATGGATTAAAACCCAATTTAAAAATTTCCACGCCAACTAAAAAACTTGGACAGTGCTCGTCATTACAATATAGGAAGAAAACCACTCAATAGACGTCTGCGGCCTCGACTTCCCCAGGATATTCTCTTGACAGACACGGAAGACTCATCGTCAGAGAATAAGGATCATTATTAATATACTAGACCTTTTTATTATATTCATATGTGTTAGCACATCATTTTATATCCTCACTATTAATATTTATGAAATTAATAAATTTATAATTATTTAAATTTATAACAAACAAAATTGTAAAAACTAAAAAGTTGTAATAACACTAGAGGTGCTGAAACATTTTATAATTATAATAAATTAAAAAAAAAATGGTTGATATTATTTTACAAAATAAATTAGAATAATATATAGCATAATATAAGCTTAAGCAGTGCTCGACTTGGCAAAATTAAAGAAGGGGGACTCTATTTACTTTAAAAAAAAACGTCCCCAAAACTGACTGAGCGTTATTATTATAGCGTAATAATAGTAGGGGGACTCTAAAATTTCTGAAAATTAGTTGGGATACTCCGTCCCCCTGCGTCACCCCTTCAAGTTGAGCGCTCAGCATAAGGTATAATATACCTATTTAGAAAAAGTGATATTTATTATAAGTTTTATTTAATATTTTTGAGGTTTTTATGTTTTATGTCAGAGATGGACAGCTAAAAGTAACTTGAAGGCCAATTTATAGAACTTTAAAATCTGGCGGGCCATAGGAAAAAAAATTTGATTAAAATTGACAACCAGCATATTTATTTTATATAATTTAATTTTACGACTGAACCAATAAAATAAATTAAGTACCTAATAACTATAGCCATGTTAAATATATTAATTTGAATATATATTATACTTATACATTTAATAATTAGGCTGCAGTTCAATACTAAATGAGAATATATTAAGTATGTATATTTTACGATCAACGTTATTTGATTATGTTGTACGGACCTTATAAAAAAAGTACGTGGGTCATATGTGTTCTCTACAACTATTTTTTCAGATTAAAAATATATTTTGACATTTTAAAATCAATGAATTGTACAATCTTCGAAGTTTTCCAACCAAAATTTTCATAATTACATTTGATTTTTTTGATCATTATCTAGGGTTTATGTCCGCTAATTTCTAGTAATTTTTTTTTTATTAGGTCTCAGTATCTATTTCGGTTAATAATTAACATACATTTTTAGTTTTGCTTATAATATTCATATTTATATATTCTTACATACAAATATTGATTAAAAAATGTATATTGTAGTATTAATATTAAATAAATATATTACCACTCATAATTACTTTGGGTAAAATTCACACAAATACTGATTATTTATTTTTAGATTTTAATTTTAATTTTAAAATATTAAATTTTATTTAATTACAGATATTATTAGCTAATTAATTTTTAATTTTCAGTCGAAAATTATTAAGCAGTAAAAACATGGGCTTATATAAGGTATAAAATTAAACATTTACTCACCTTTAACAGCTCTTTGTATATTAGTTAAACTAAATTTAATAACGTCCAATAGTTTATTAAATCGACCCATTTCTTGTACCAAAACTGTATTCATTGACTGGTTGTAAGAAGTTGGATATTTTTCAAGAGCCAGCACAATATCGAAATTTATGGGTAATTTACTTAGTATATCCGTGGCAAATGCTAAAACTAGTTCTTCAGATGATTTACCTTCTTCACCCGAAGTTATGGAACCCTAAATCCAGTACTTATTATTAAAAATTTGAAGATTCTTCGTGTTCTAAATTCTTATGTGTTCATAGGCACAAATAGGGTTTGAGATTAGGGAAACTGGGAAATTGTTCATAATATATTTTATTAAGTATAGCAATGATTTGATTTTTTTCTTTGGGGGTACGGGAATTTAGAAACTAGTTAAAGAAGTAAGTCCCTCAACCACTCTTATTTATGCCTATGTATATAATACATATTATGTTGATGTGTAGTGGTAAAGAATTGAATACTTAATATTAATTCTCATGTTCATCTACACATTTTGGTAGTTTATTAGACAAATACCTACTTAAAATATATAAGCATTACTTACATAACTTAGTTTATATTTGTTCCATAAATCCTATGGTAATAAGTAGATAGCAACAAAAAAATAAGATAACGATCACATAAATAACAATTGATGACAACATTTACCATAATAAGACTGATAATTAATGTCCTAGGTTTATTTAGATAGTTGTAAAAATGTTAATGTTAATAATACTAATTTTACTTACAACTCGGTCCTGACCAGCAATTTAAGTACATTTTTAAAAATAACAATAATAATTATATTCATATAAATGTTGTTAATATGTAGAGTTGGACGAGTATTGGTTTTTTATGTTGAGTCGAGACGAATTTTAATTATTTCAAGTCGAGTAGAGTTCAAAACTCGAAAGCTCGAAAAATACCCAGAAGGTACTTAAGAAAAAAGTGGTGGTTACCAATTTGTATAAAATTATATTATCATAATAAAATATCAAATTAATAACAATCTATTGTTATTCATTTGAAACATCAACCTTGTTGGTATTTTCTATCGGAAATATTTGGCTTCAGTTATTTGTAGTTTTAATATTTATTTTTCAATAAAGTAGTAAAATAAACTCGAATATTTGATTCAAATCGTGCACTCGGTTATAGTCGAGTAAAATCGATTACTCGTATGTACAAGTACAAATATTTTTTTTGTCAATTCAAATCATATTTGACTCGAAAAACTTACAAATTTGACTACCTTACTCGTTCAACTCTAATGTAATAATATATAAATTTAAGTATATACATCATGTGTCATAATTTACTTGTGTTTTAAGAACGGAATCGAGAAGTATTTCAGTTTCTTGTCTTTCTTTTATGAGATCCGCATTCTCATGCAGGCCAAAAATACTAGGTTTTGTAACTAATGGCAATCCTTGAATTCGCTCTAAGAATTGATCATACTCTTTTAAATCAGGGCAGTGATAAATTCCTTAAATAATATAATTATAAATTTATTTATTCTTATAACATTGTAAATAAGTTACTTATCGCATTATTAATAATTACCAGATTTATCAAAGTTAAAATTTTTTTTCTTAATAACAGACTTAGAATAAAACTTGTTTAGACATGTAATCAAGCAACGACGGTCCCAATCGTCCGTTACACGCCCGCCGTAGTTGCATTCACCAGTAAGATACCGTAAGGCATCAAATTGAACGTTTGGATATTCGTTTAAGAATTTTTGTAACTGTAGAACACTAATCCTGAGATCAGTTTCGTTAAATTCATACATTCGATTCCATCCGATCGACCCGTAATTGCGGCGTTCTTGAACTAAAGCGTGAAAGAAACACAAACTGAAAATCAGTTTCTTAAAATTTCCACTTTGTTTACAGCCCTCAAAAAATTCTTCGTTTGCAATTGGATCGCTTGTAAATGATCTGAAAAATGCTTGTATTTTAACAAACACACACACAAATATACGAGCAGTGCCGAATTAAGGGCCGATGCCGCCCTAGAGCAAATAATGTTTGCCCACTCCCTCTCAAAGAAATAAAGTTTAGGTGAAACAAAAAAAAAAAAATGGTTTCTATGTATAAATTAAAAAAATAAAATACTATTATAAAATATAAGTACCTAATAGACTAATTAATCTACTTAAACTAAAAAGTATAAATAGGTATATGTTAAATGTCACAGAATAGTTTTGCAAAGAATTTTTTTAAACTAATGGAAAATACAATTATAATATTAATAAATTGGTTTAAAATATACATATAATAATTAAAGTAATAAGAATAAGAAAAAATAATGAATTGGAAAGTTTATTAAAAAAAGAAAACATAGTAAATACAATTAGAAACCGAAGATTTCAGTGGGCCGGCACGCTAGACGAAGCCAAAAAACATAAGGATGACGATGGATGAGAACCCAGTTGGTAAAAGACCACTAGGGATATCTCGATTAAGGTGGAAGATATGATAAAAAGAGCTGTGTTGACACTGAATGGAGAACCGGATTGGAAAGCACGAGCTTTGGATAGAGAATGCTGGAGAATTAGATGTGTGACGGTATGGTCATAATGACCAACAAACTCCAAATAAAAAAGAAAAGAAAATTTAAAAATAATAACATAATAATTATTATAAAATAATAATTATAACATATTAAAAGATAAAAAAATATTTATTTTTTTTATTTTGTAAATAAAAAGTAAAAACTTAATATATAAAATAATCAGTGGCAAAGCACGAGTATTTAAGTCGGGGAGTCGTTAAAAAATACGTTACAGCCCCCCTCATTTAAAACTTTATTGTATGTATGATATAAGAGACACGGTCTTTTGTTTTTTATTTCATATTTTTTTCGTATACCTAACCTATTTTTGGGTCATGATGAATAGGTTGAAAAACACTGCTATATATAACACTATTACAAACATTTAAAAATATAAACATTATTAATAGCACCTGTATATATTAGCTCGGAGTCCTTTTGGCGGTTCATTAGTCATTTTAATGCTATTTTGAAGTACTGACACGGGGAAATATTCCACAGGATAAGATGTCAACCAAAGTCTAAATTCTGAATTAATATGTTCTACAGAAAAATTTTCACATGTCTAAAACAATGGAAAAGATTATGGCAATAATAGTTACATTGCTTATATCATAATAATTAGTATTTTTTAGTTCTTGGTATAATATAAATATATAATTGTAATTTTTATCAATATAATTATATTACCTTTTCAAGGTCAGACATCCAGCTTTTAGCTAAATGACAATTTTGTAACAATACCCAGTCACCCGTTCTTGTTGCTTCTTCAATTAATCGAGAAGCTATAGGGCCTTGGCCTTGACCCAAAGACAAAGATGTTAAGCGCGACCCAAAGCCCTTAAAATGAAATACATATACATTTAATTTTGAAAGGTGTATATTGTCCAATTATATTATTTTAAGAATTTACATAGATTTTGGCTAATAAGATTAATTTGATAATTTGTATTAAATTATATATACCATTTTGTCAGCAAATTTGAGTAACATTGTAGTTGGATCAGCACCTGGAGTTAATATGAATACTAAAGGTGTCGCACAGTTCGAATTACCAAAGGATGAAAATAAATCAAATGGTGGAGGTTCAATAAATTTATTTTCCAAAATAGATTCATCTATAAATTAAAGTGAATTAGTTTACAATACTTCCATAAATTAAAACTATTCATACTCGTTATAAAGTATTGAACTGCTGGTAATATTTTGTCATATCTAATGATTCGCAAAATTATACATTTTTGAAAATAATTTAAATTTGTGTTCCAAGGTTCCGGAAAATTAGTCAGATATGGTACAGGTGAATCGTAAATATGTTTCCATTCATCTTCATTATTCTCAAAATTAGCTCTTATACCCTAATTAAAAATATATAATTTATTCTTTTAAATCACAATAACCATTTTGTTATTTATTATTTTACAAAAAATCTTTATGATCATTTCTAAAATGTGTTTTAAAGGATTTTTCCCTATCCATCAATTTTATAGAATTTTTTTCATTAAAATAATATTAAAATTACGGGACTATTCGTCGATTTTATTGTAACTGAATATTGTCAGTATAGTATAGGGTTGGGCAAAAACATAGATGTTTTAGGTCGATATATCGATGTTTTAACATCGATAATTTGTTTTCGATTAATCGATTAAACATCGATGTTTATGTTCGAAATGTTCGAATTTTATTTTTTGTTTGTATTATTTTAGTATGCAGTATATAAAAATCGTTATACAGTATACCAGGGTATATTTTAAGGCGTTGTTGAGCATTGATTGCGATATCGGGAACATTTTTTGCGATTTTGGAAGTACATTTTTATGTTGTTGATAATGTTATAATGATAATATTACGGGTGAGAAGGTTGGTGAGCTCAGTCGACAAGCTATTTCAAAAGGGGGGTGTTATTCAAAATTATACACAACAAAATAAATACTTTACGTATACTTAATTGTACAAGAATACAAACACATTAGTACATTACACATGAATATCTATTCATGTGTAATGTACTATTGTATGAGAAAGCATTTAAATATTTTATTATATTAAAATTTCAAATGTCCATTTTTGTCATATGTATCCATTTTAAATCGCGCATGATACGATATAAAACCACGGCTTTGGTTTATTAGACAAAACGATGTAATGAGAAGCCGGATCACGGCTTTACATTATTGTTATGTATATATTTTATTATGATAAATATGTTTTCATCATGGTTTATGATCAATTTTTACCTTTATTAGACTTCACTATAATGTTAACGCGGTTAAGAGGGGGGGGGGGTGTTACTACACCTGTAATCCATGGCTACGGGCCTGGGTAAAATGGTTTGAAAATTATATTTTTGAAAAACCACCGATATCATAATTTTGTGATAATTACGCGTATTTTAGTGAAGTGATTTTAAATTTTTTAATATTACATGTTAAATTATTTTACCAGTTATATGTATTATTTTAAAGATTATTTTTCGGAAGTCGATTACCTTATCAGTATTTGCCTACGCCGAACATAGACATAGTTTCTTAATTATTTCCTTAATTGTACTTGTTTGATTTAGTATTATGTATATTGTATATAATACACTATTTATATGCGTTATGAATATAACATTATAATAGGTATGCGAGCCTTGGTTTGTTTTGATTCAGTTCCAGTAATTCCACCAATAATTATTTTTAATAATTCGTCGGCTTTCTATTTATTGTACTGGTATAATATATTCATATTTGAAGTACAGTATTAGTTTGAGAGTGCACCTAATATCTAGCGTAGTGTTTATTCATATAAATAATTATATTTAGTATACTTAGTTATGAGTAGAGTTATAAATGTGACTTTTGATAGAGGGGTAGAGGGAATTTAATGCGTTGTTGACAAAAATTCTTAGAATAAACCCTGCAGTATATATTATACAGTTATAATTTGGGCTCCTAAGTTCATGCACTAAAAAACGCATAAATAAGCACAGCGGCGTAGCCAGGGGGGGCTAAGGGGGCTATAGCACCCCCATGGCCCGTGTTTATAAGTATAGTGTATCTTGACTATTTAATAGAATCAATGGATGCTCGTTTTAATCAAAGGCTTATTGATGTTATGCTACTTGACGGACTTATTCCGGCCAATTTAAATATGTATGACGATGAAAATATTATAAAAGCTGCTAAAATATATGCCCAAGATCTCCATGATGATACCTCATCTACAATCAGAGCTAACCTGTTCATATGGAGGCAATAATGGAGTCAAAATACTATTCCAAAACCGAATTCTGCTCTTGATTCACTCTCTCACTGCACCAATCTTCAACCTAACATTAAAATACTTTTATAATTATTCGCCACGTTACTAGTTACCTCCTCCACTCCGGAAAGAACGTTTTCTGCACTTAATCGCTTAAAAAATTTTTTTAAGAAGCACCATGTCGGAAAACAGACTGAATGGGTTAGCTAAGGCTAATATAAATAAAAAAAATCAATTCGATGAAAGTGAAATAGTAACTGAATTTGTCGGAAATTCGCCTAAGAGGATGCAGCTGTCAGAGTGGAGCAAGTGACTGAACACTGAAACCAAAATTATTATTATTATTGTAAAATATATATTAATAAATATTTTTAAAACTATACTAAAATGCTTGAATTACATTTAAAAACTTGGTAGTAGATGGGGGGGGGGATTAAGGGTGAATTCTCATATCCTCTCTTACCTCACTTATCCAGTGATTAGCCTCTCCCATTTAAAAATCCTGGCTACGCCACTGAATAAGTATGCAATAATGCATTAACATTTGATCAAACATGCATTAAAAATCTTTAACTATGCACGAAAAAAAACTATAAGCATTTTTAAAAATAACAAGAATTATCCATTCATATTTTTAAAAGTTATATTTTTTCTTCGGTTACATTTTATTAAAATTATAATTAATGATCACACGTTGCGACGAAAATAGTTTATTGCAATGGACACGTCAATAGGAGGAGAGTGGTAGTGGTGCTCAATAACATTATTCCGTGATACTGCTTTTAACTTATAAAATTTAATGTCATAAAAAAATAAAATATTGATAAAATATTGATATTTTATAAAAAAGTTCGGAAAATTAAATAAGAATGGATTGAAACATTTATTGATCTAATTTTTTTTTGACTTCCACAAAAAAATGATTTCGCTGAATTTACATAAAATAATATGCGCTCATAACTCAAAAAACATCAACTATATGCCAAATATGCCAATACACACAGAACATGCAAAAACATACACTGTTAAAATTTAGATTTTTATTACCATTGTTATGAAACAGATTTTTATCTCAATTAGCATATTTTCTGATGTAGCAAAGAAAATATACAAATGCATGAAAATACGACCCCTGATTTTAAGTATTTAATATTGTATTTAAAAAATTTTAGTTAAACAATATTATTTAAACTCTTAAATTTATTATTTAATCAAGAAAATAGTACACTGTACAGATAATAAGGTGTGCGACGGATGGCAGCTCTAAAGGGAAACATTATTTTCGATGTTTTAAACATCGTTGTTTTTTCACCGATACATTGAACACATCGATATTTTAAAAATCGATGTGTTGATACATCGAACATCGATGTTCATACAATTTTGCCCATTCCTAGTATAGTATAGTATCGATTTCATTAAATTTATTTGAATAGAACCAGAAAAAATGTTTTTAATAGGCATTTTAATTTAAATTTATATGAATTAAAATATATAAATCTAATTAAACATATATAATACTGAATACTGATGTAGTACTATACCTATTTCAGAATACATTTTACAACATATTATTTTCTATAACAGTCATTTTAATATTTAATATAAAGTCATTTTTTACGATAGTATTTATATAGATAAAATATAAGATACGTAAACTAAACAAACTTTGAACTTTGGTAGGTTATCAACTCTGCAGAGTTCATCCCAATTTGAATCTTGTAACCAACTTATCTTATTTGTAATGGGGTTGTCTAAGTTTACTCCACCAGTCAAGAAAAAAAGCCACTCCTCTGGATTGATTTCTGTAGATAATCTAACAGCTATTACCAACGAAAATAATAGTTTATCCTAGAAAAATCAAGCATGTAAATTAATTCAAGTAAACCGATAAATTGAATATAATAATGAATAATAACTTTTTCAAATAAACTTCTGCATATATTGACATATAACGAATAAGTAAAATACTTTTTCAGTACTTCGGTACGTTCTTCAATTTTATCGCGTTTGGGACTATCTTCTATAGCCGTAATAAATAAATGTATGAACCATGTCAATGAATATTGATACATAGGATCAATGTTAGTCAAAGAATCAATAGCAAAAAATAATTTAGTAGAATATATGGCAACAGTTTGGTATTGACGCCTTGTTTTATCAATAGTTCGTTCAGTAATTTCAGCTTCAGTCTGTTTAACTTCAATTTCATTGGCAAGAACTTTGGACGAACTTAATATATTAACGGCTTCTTCATCTTCTAAAATATTTCCCTCAGAAGAACTTAATACTTGCAAAATTTTATCTTCAATATTTTTTAATGTTCTACACATAATAGAATATTAAATAACCAATTAAAAATATGAATCTTTACAATATTACCTGGCGTTTTCAGCGCCTTGTACTATTAGCTGATTTTTTTCTGCCTCTAAGTCAGGTCGATCTTTTGCAACAACAACACCTAGTAATTGATCTTCTAACCCATCTGATGTTATCATAAAGTTCAAAAGAGTTACTTTGACTGCTATATCAGGTAAGTAGTGAGGATTTCTAAGTTTTGTTGTAATATAAAACCTGTTTACAAATAATTAATAATGTCTTATTTGTTATTGCGTACTGATTATTTTATTGTAACAGCAATGAAAAAACAAAATATGCAAATTATTACCGGAATCGATCATTATACTCAACAATTGTATCTCCCAATTTCAAACAATACGTGCCTCCGCTTATAAATATTTGAGTTAATAATATAGGATCTAATAATGGATCTAGTTCTTCGTAAATATTTTCTAGCAATACCTGGAATATTTTATTACATTATAAAAATACAAATATTATATTATTAATTTATTATTACTGGGTTTCCATTAGTAATAGCATGTTCTAATATTTTCAAATAATTTGGAGTACTAAAGCGTACAATACTTAATGAATTATCCATTTCCAAATTTCTTATCCATTTATTTGCTTGGTTTTGAGGATCAATCATAAGTGCTGACCGTCTAGAATTTCTAAGGTAATACAACAATTATTTTAATTTTAATTTTTGTTTTAGATTATTATTTGAAAAAATATAATAATTAATAAGCTTAATAATAAGGATATAGCAAAAATAAGAAAATATAAATAATTTAAAAATATAGATTTGTATTATAAACTATACAGAGAAATTTAAGGATGGGACAACATTCAATAATAAGGAAACAGCCGAGGGAATTAAGAATTTAGGACTTCCGAAAAGTTAACATGGATGCTGTAAATAGACTAAAATAAGATAATAGATGAGGTTTTTGACGCTTTGAAGTAGATATTCTAGTATAATACGAGTATATATATGGAGTAAAAGCATGGGCGGACTAAGGTAAGAAATCGACCCGGGCGATCCTAGGTAGAAGCCTAAAAATTCCACGAATATCATTATACAGCATAAGTTTCTTTATAATAATGTCCAATCACCATCTTTTCATTTGATACACAAAACTAAAAAACTTTAAAAAATTGTTTGTATCCTTGATGGTCAATCGAATCATGCGATTATCGTAGTCGCTCAAAAAAAAAAATTCGTAGCTACTACGTAAGCACCATTTGAATACCTTTTCCTTATTTCTAGCTAAATTAATGTATGAACAATATTATGGGATTATTGTATGTGAACTCGTAGTCTAATGGTATTGAAAGCCATACATAGCGACAGATATCGGGTTCAACTGCTGAAATTTTATTTTGCACTTTTTTAATTATTTTCATGATGATTGATAACTGATACAACAGTTAGTAACTTAATAATTACCCTGTGACCTCTTTGGGGTGGTGTTGCATAGCAATTCGAGGGATATTTTCGATTAGCGGAGCGACGGCGCCGAGGAGCGTAGCGACAAGTGCCGCTAGCATGGCATCACTGACGTGACAACTGCCCCCAACCCGCGCATTAACTATTCGGGTATCGAATATATACGCGGACTGTCCGTGTACGCTTTATCCACCTGGGCACCCGGGTATCTAAACACAGCGTATTTTATATTACTCTATCAACCATCACTGCAGCAGCATAGATAATTGTTGTTCTATGGTGTATTGGTGTTACTCTACGTCGCATTGAGCAAACTAAGCTACAGTTTTGAAAATTGCACAATTTGCTGATAAATTAATCACTACACAGTTGTACACATAGGCCCAATATACCTGTGAGGGCCCGCAATCATACCAGCCCAGGAGGCGTTCGTCCCCTCGCCCTTCGGCCCAGTCCGCCCCTGAGTGAAAGGGATAAAATGTAGACATATTGAGAACTATTTTGGTGGCATGGGGAAAGAAAAAGTGATGAACAGTTCTAAAACAAATGTGAGTAGTAAAATCGAGTAAAAATTATTGTACTATTTTTTTAATCAATTGAATTATAGTAAATTGGGATATTTTTACAATTTATAGTATGTAATCATTTTAACAACAAAATAACTTACAAAACAATGATTCCGTTATCGGTCGAAAACGAGTCTGTTGGAAGTCCTGCTATGTTCCATGCTCTAATATCTACCGGATTTCCCAATACTGAACATAGTTGAAAATTTTCAGAACATACTAAGTTATCACTTATAATATCTCGAACCCATTGTTGTATTAGTATGTTACGAAAATCCATTGTGAATGGACCCAAGTAAGCAATGATACCAGAACTTATCAATATATTTCCTAAAAAAAAGTTGTATGAAAGATTTGTTTATAGTTTATTTTTTTTATGTACCTGTAAGATTTAAATAAGACTTTCCAAGATCTATTGCTATTTGCCCCCATCGTTGTTTCTCACCACCTAATCCACCAATTAAATCTTCAGCTCGTTGAAGTTTTGTTTGAACAGCAGTAGCTTCATCTTGAAACGATTTCATTTTACGTTCATTTTCTTCGAGGTCATCTTGAACGACTTTCATTTTTTTTTCGACCTCAGCAAGTTGGTCACGTTTCTCATTTAATGCACCCATAGCTTTATTATATACTGTTTCAGCTTCAGCCAGTGCAATTTTTTTTGGCCCAATTTCTTTTGCTACAACATCGTAACTTGACATAGCGATCACCCATTTACATAAACCTTGGGCGGCTATTGAAGCATTTTTTACTTTTTCTGGATCAAATTCCGGATTTGTCAAGTATTTTTCATTGATGACTTTCATTATTTTAGAGGGAATGTTATCTTTATCAAATTGTATCAAATGGTCTAAAAACTTTATGTCATTAAGAAGTTTTTTCGACGCCGGCCAATAATCTTCTGTTGTCTTTCCAGTTGTTGGATCTGGTATTTTATCAGGTTTCACATCTTTTATTATACAAATAGCTTCCATGACTAATTTTACAGGTTTCGGTGGATTCTTCATTGATTTTACAAATGTTATATCATTAGAAGTTAATGTATTAAGTGCTGCTAAAGCAGCATTTAATGCTGGCCTTGCTGCTTCCATATGAGCATCACATTCAATTTTTATATTTTGAGCTTCATCTGCTGTTTCCTGTGCTTGTTCTTCATCTTTTTTTATAATCTGTTTTACTTTAGAAATTTCTTGATTTTCTTTTTCAACTTGTTGCATTATAACTTTAACTTCTTCTGTGGCTACCGAAATTTTAGGTTGCAAATCTTTTAGTTCTTCTTGCATGATAGATATTTCATCTGCAGCAGCTTGCAATTTTTCCAACCCCACTTCATATCGACGTTTAACCATTATTATTTCTCTATAAAAGTAATATTTTATGTTATATTAATTTTATATTTTTTAAAAAAATGACATACTGTCTTTTTTTTCCCAATAGATCTTTAAAAGTAGACATTAATTCTAAGTATGATGTGGGTGTAATATAAGTTTTACGTTGAAGTCTAATATCGAATTCAATAGATATATCTTGAGTTGAAGTATGAAACTTTTGACACATATTGACACAAACATTTCTTTCATGTTCGGTTAAATCAATTGCATCTAAGAAATTTTTTGCTACAGCCAGTAAAGCATCTTCTGGCCAATTCTGCAATATACAAATGTGAAACAGTTTTTCAATTTAGTTATAAATCTATAATACTATAGTATATGCGTATGTGTGTGTATATATAACATATTAACATAATAACATATTAGATTTTGTGCAAAAATAATTAAAAATCTTATTAAAATTTAAAAAAAAATTGTAATATTTTGTAATGATATGCAAAATACTGCACAAATCAATTGTAATAATGTACACCATTTGATTTTAAATAATTTTTAAAAATAACAAATTACGGCTCTTTCAATACATGCACAGACAACACAAATCAAACAATAATGGCCTAACCCTACAATACTCCATTGACATCATAAATAGGTTAAATATTGAATCCTGTCACACGTTTCTATATAACGGGGATACATAATCTCTCCCAGAGATCTTGCTCATAAGCGTAAGGGGTTCTTGATCTTAGGTCGTCAGATTAATAAAGGAGTCTCCTGTGACAAGTAATCACTACGAACGACTATTTAACTTTTATTATTCATTTGTTTGACTTTAGTTTTTTGTGCGAGTGTTGAAAAGTGTTCAGCTTCATTATATTAAATCTTGTGTTTGTCTCACTTTATTTCAACCTCATTACACTCTTGCACATAGGCGGAAATTAGGGGGGGCTTAAGGGGGCTTAGCCACTCAAATATTTTAATAGCTCCCCCAATCAAAACTCTGTTAGAAATTTTATTTGTCGTTTTTATAATTATCTATTGGTTTTTTGAAAATCGTAAAATAAGAAATAATAAAAACTATTTACAATAGCATTAACAATACCAATTAGTTCGGCTACTTGCGAAAGAAGTTTTAGTACAATGAAAAAACTAAAAACTTGGCTTAGGTTTAGCGATCTTTCAATACTATGTATTGAAATAGATATATCGAAAAATATAAAAAGCTCTATCTTTGTTGATACAACTAGATATTTGTCATTAAAATAAAATATTAATTATTTTTAAATATAAGTTATTTAGTGTTTTTTTTTAATACAATTTAAACATATCTATATTTTTAATAGTAATAAGTTTTACTTGTGCATGAGAAGGGGGTGTGGGTGGCGAAGCCACTGCGGGTTGTTTTACATTGAATTATTATAGCCCTCCACCCCCAAAATTCAACCAAATATCCGCCTATGCTCCTGGAATTGTTTTAAGTGCACAGCTCGTTGGAATTCAAATATCAGCTACAAAACAAGTGCTATTTTATTTGGCTTACCTGACAGTTGCGCTGATCGGCTCTCGAACCTTTGTAACCCCAAAAGCCCTCCCTTAAACAAGGGGGATGCAATCAACCCATAATAAACTATACATAATGTACATACAATCCCTTCTCTTCACACCATCTTTTTTTTTTACATTTGTACTTTCGAGTTACTACAATTTAAATATTTGAGAGTGCTATAATTTGTAAACTTTTGATTATTGTATTTACTATGAATTTATTTATTTTTTAAATATATGATATTTTACAAAATTTTAAACAATCTCAAATATCATTTTAACAGATTTAAAAAGTATATCATTAATAAAAATATTGTTTATTATTATTAATTAAAATCTTATTTTTTTGAAAATCAAATCTTTCGATGTTATAAAAGAAATCAGAGGCTCGAACCCTATAATGAGGCCGGCCCTTTTTACAATTTTAGATAGGGATGCTTCATATTAGCATATATAAAGCATTATTAAAAATTAAAGCCTAACATTAATATTTTTTGAGTAAAAATCTCTATCCCTTCAACCAGTACGTCATTGGGGCCAATATTATACTGGAACATATGAATTTTACTGTGTCATTAGTTGTTTAATCAAAAAAATATTGATTTTTTCAAACCTATGACTAAAAATGGTTTCATTGTTTTTATTCATAACAACGTAGTACAACAAGTATAAATCATTTAAATTGAACGTAATTTTATTTTATAAGGAAATAAGTAATCATAAATGTTTTTTATGCTCATTGAACAAAAATGATTATTAGTTTATTTACTCGACAAAAAATGACACAACATTTTGTTTTTAATAAAAAAATATTAGTATTTGTGTATTAAAATAATTTACAAATATAAATGTTATCATTAAAATATAAGAAATGATAGAATAATATATTTTACCTGAAACCAATCAATTGTACAGCATTGCACTAGAGAAGGAAATTTTCTTATTCGTGTACGAAACCCGTTCCCAATAGGACTAAAAGCCAATGCTATATGAAGTTGTTCTTTCACAATTTGAATGAAGTAGTTAAACACAGCTGTCATACTACCATCAGTCTAATTAAAAAAAAAAAAAATTACGGATTAGTATTTTTTTACAACTATAAATTGATGGTTATAATGAGTTTTATTAGTTGGTTAAATACAAAAATATACTTGTAAAGATTTGTCTCGTTGTTTATCTATCAAACGTATTTTTTCGCACAATTCTATCTTCTCGTCCATTACAAACAGATTTGGAACTTCACCGGAGTTTAATAAGTTATGCATGTCTTCCACCATTCCTTCCCTTTTAATCTGAATATATTTAAAATAATTTCTATTTGTAAACGTTTAAGTTTCATATTAATTTTATTAATTTACACACAGTAATTTTTTTGCCGGTAAGAAAATTATTAATAATTCATTTAAATTTTGATAAGTACTTCGACAAACATTTTAGAAAAAATTATAATTTTAAATTATCTTTTTTTATGAGGGGGAGGGAACAATTTTTCAGTTTAAGCTTTCATTAACAGTTAGGAAAAAATTAGTATAATTAATTTTGTGAGAATGAAGTATAAGTGTACAGACTAGTTATATATATTTGGTTGTCTCCTTTACTCATAAATCAATAATTTGTAACTTATAAATAATAAAAATATATTTTTAATTATCATTTGACCAAACTTAATTAGTAATTATCCTAATTACCTAATGAAATTATACATATAGAGTGTCAATAAAATACAAAATAAAATTTAAAAATAATCAATTGTTTAAATTAAACTTTATTACTTCTTTAAATTATAATTTAATTTTTTGAAATTAGAAAAATTAGAGAAAATATAAATTACAAAAGAAATATTCGATATTTGTTTACTTCAGAATCGTTGAACAAAAATACGACATGCTGGTCTAAAGAAGCAACTGCACGCTTTAATATTAATTTCAAATCTTCATGCCATTCATTTGTTCCGTATGCACGTGTCATTTGTACCTAGATGTAACCGAATATCTATTAATTAAAATTCGAAAACTAGGTAATAATAACACGTTACACCTGAAACAAATCATATTCTGATATATGAGCAGCGAGTCTCACTAATGATTGACGGCCTGATCCTCCCAGACCAACAAGTAATGCATGTCCTCGAGGTTGCTTAAAAATTCGACAAATTCTTGAAAGATGTTCTATAGCAAATCTAAACAAAACTAGATGCATTGGTTTTTTGCTCATGTTATTAAATTCATTTAAATATCCTTCAACGATCACTCGAAGATTATTAAGATTGTGTACTTCCATATAATTTCTTGTATCAGCTTTTGGATTGGAAAAATCACAATAGATGAGCTGTCGTAATTCGTTTTGACCTACCTATTTAAGAATAATATTTAATAATTTTATATTGTATATATTAATTTAGATGAAATGTACAGTTTCACTTTGCTCATTAATCAAATGAACGAATATATCATTAATATTTTCATTTAGGAACTCTTTGCAAATTGAATGAAGGTTATCGAAAAACCACGAACGATCAGAATCATCAACTAATCGATCATAATAAACTCTAAGAATTTCATGAATCCACAGTCGTTTCATAGAAATTGCGTCTTCTATAGTTTCAGGTACAGAAAACATAACTCCCTTAAATTAATAAAATTAGTTATTTGTTAATGTTTTTAGTCCATTTATGATGATATATTAGTATATTTATTTATGCACATAATACATAGTAGGTACCTGAATAACTTTTGAAAAATCTCTTAAATTAAATAAATAATGTGATTTAGTAGGTGTTGGAAGTAGATGGTTAATACTATGTTTGTGAATTTCTAACGTTGAGCTGACTAATTGATGCATGCATGAATCAAACTCTCTGCTAAAACCTCTACACATACATTTTATAATATTTATATTTTAAATTTTCATGTAAAACACATTATTTGTTTGTAAAATATATTCCATACCTTGTATCTAAATGCCACAGCAATATTTTACTAAATATTGATACCATTGTTGTATCATCAAATTCATTAATAACATAAATATTAAAGTGTCGACTAAATCTGGGCGAGACTAAATTCCCAGTAGATGGTGGACCCATGGCACAAAGTAATAATACATCCTGAAGGGCCATTGGAACAAGATCTTTTCGATCATACCATGGAAAATTATCCAAAAATTGTCGTAAAAGTTCAATGGGTGGCTGAGCACCATAATACTCTTTTTGAGGCATACTAACATCATCAATAAAAATTATACATTTTGTACCAACAGGTGGACCAAAAATGCCTCGCCTTCTCTTAATGAGCTTGTTCATTATTATATCTTGTGTTGAATTAGCTGATGTGTGTGCTGAGAAGTTGATAAATGATGATAGATTTGAAGTTTTATCAATTTTTGTAAATAGATAATTCTGAAATTTAAATACTGCATTAAAATGTATAACTAAAATATTATTATTTTATATTCATACCATAGTATATGTCGATTTCCCAGTTCCAGTTTTTCCCACAGTCATCATCGGCTTATTATGAGCAATCATCATAGACAAAATCACTTGATGTCTTATCACATCAATTGTTGGTACTATAATTTCGTTGAAAGGTATACCTTGAGGTATAGGTGGTGCTTCTGCCACGTAATCTGACCACAATTTCCATTCGCCTTTACCCTGTCCTTCTAGTACATATCTGTAGTCAAAGACCAAGTATTCTTTTGGTGGAAAATTAGTGTATGGCTTTTTGGGTGAAGGACATAATTCAATAGGTAATTTAAGAGCTCGGGCGACTTTTTTAGGAAATTTATTTTCCAATAATGCACGAAACAAAATATTGAATTTTACTCTACTTTGTGCATCAAGAGTTGATCCCATTGACCAAATACATGAAAAGAAAAATATACCCTGTAAAGTACAAATTATTTTTAATTTTTAAATTTTTTCTTTTTCTTGTGATATACTTCTAATTGAGCTCTAAAATCAGATTGTGGAATAGTTTTCATATATTCTTGATTACTGTATAAATCCATGAATGAATCACACATATTTATTAATGATTTAATGAGATTTGAATCGCTGGAAGGGAAAATCTCCTAATACAAAATCAATAAATTAAAAACTAATCATTATCATTGTTTAAAAATTATTACTGTAATATTGCATCGTTTTAAAAAATATAAGATTGGATAAGAAAATCTTAAAATAATTGATTGTAAAATTTGTTTATAATGGGAATTTATATAAGAAGATAACTGCTTAATCCATGACTGTACAAGACATTCCCAACCTAATGATATTGGTTCCATAAAAATCATTCCACACCTTGATACCTTTAAACAAAATAAATCAATTTATATTTTAAAACAAATATAGACATAAATAGACTATTAACACAGGTGTTGTCTACTTCAAGTAACCTCGTATAGCTCAATATATTTTGTTATAACGAAGTGTATAAAAGAAAAATTTTTATTATAATCATCTCAAATTTGTATCGTGTTTTTACTTTTATTATTTATTTTTTCCATGTATAGTATGTATTATTGGTAATAATATATTTTAGCCTCCGATGAAGTATTATTTATAGAATGAATATGATTAGTAGTGATGAGCAACGATATCAATAATTCGATACGATATCGATATCGTGACACATTTTCGACACCGATATCGTTCTATAGTTGTACGATATATCGCAATATCAAATTTAATAATTTTTCTAGAAATACATTTTATTTTTAGATTCTAAGCTTTAGTAAATTGTATTGTGTGTGCTGTGTAATAAACCATTAACTAATAACTAATAAGTAATAATATAATATTATATATATATATATATATAGTCTAATAATATAACTGAAAAAGTTTGTACATCTCTCCTCGGGAAATGTGAATTATTATATTATTTATATTTAATTTTACATTTCTACATTATTATAACATTTGATATAGCTTATAATTAGAGCCCAGATTTATATGCATTTGTATGTTTGTACTAAATGTATGCACGTCTATGGAGGTTTAAAATGTCCACGATTCATATCACACCGAATTTAAACACCAAATTTAATTTTGCATATTTTGCATATTTCTAGAGTTATTGCATATTTGTTCATAAATGCAATAATGCAAACATTTTTGTATTTTTTTTAAGTTTTCTATTCATATTTTGAACGTAGGTAGCTTCAAATGATCTAAAATATTAATAAAATCGAAAATATTAATTTTTAGTTTTTTTTTTTTTTTGTATTCTCGTTTTTAAGTTTTCTAAAAGTTTTAGGTTGATTTAAATTATATGAAATATAAATCAATGGATATTATCATTTTATTTTGTCTTTGATAAAATATTTAGAATTTTATTTGGTATAAAAGTGTGGTTTTAAAAAAAGAAAACACATTTTATAAAGTTTAACATAATACATATAATTGGATATTTAGCCACTTTTTCTTTACATATTATCATCATATTTGACACTTTTTAAATGCATATAAATCCGGGCTCTACTTATAATGTTATCTGTATCGATAAGCATTATGTACTAGATAAAAGTTTACGATTTTGGTTTACCAATAATAAATATCATATTCTAAATTTTAGTATATTATTTTATTAAATTTATAAAAATATAATTCGATACGATATCGATATCGATATTTTAGAAACCGAACCGAAATTATTATAGTTTAAACCAGGACCGGACCAAAATCATTTAAAAAAAATATTGATTCGGACCAAACCGATTCTTCACCTATTTTTATACGAAAAAACCGGACCATGCAGAGCACTACTATATGCATTACCATATTGTAAAAAATAATAAAATATTTAAATAAATCTTGCACTTAGTTTTACCGTTGCCGGAGATGCTACGTCTAAATCCATTGGTTCAAATATTAAATTAGTTGTATTGGCAAGTTGGATTATCTCTCCAGATATTAAACAAAGTTTTTTATTATCATCAAGTACAGTATTCATGCTCTCAATCCATATAGCATCAACTGGGCCATCAAATAATAGCCATTTTCTGTTAGAATTTTCGGATGAAGCAAATTGTCTGAATCCGACAGCTAAAATACCATCAGACCATTCATGTGAAACCATATCAAATTGTCCATATAATTGACCCAAAGTTATTGACTTAGGATTAATAACCATAATTTCTACTTTATGTTCATCCATCAATTTCTAAATAAAATGATAATACGGATTGAATGAAGAGCATTGTTATACATTTATTTGTGCAAAAAATATTGAAAATAATTAAAATGATTAAAATATTAATACGTTACGTTACGTCCAAAAAGGTACATACGTCGTATATATGTAATTTGCGCCATAACCAATAACAAATATTACTATGTAATTAGCCACACAAAACTGTCAAAACTGATTCATGTATGTTAATTTTTTTTTATAATACAATCCTAGAAGTGTATATATATTTATATCATAAAGTTAAAATTTGTAAATTTATGATTAAATAATAAAAATTATTGTAAATATAAGCTGAAACAAAATAGTTTTTGTATCTATGAAAATCAATATATCTATACTATAAAATATTTATTAAAAAATAAATGTATTTCTTATTATATAATTTGGTCGAGTAGGCGTGATGGCTACAACCTATTTGCGCCCCGAGAGATGTGGACAGATGCGCCCGAAAGACTACCTGCCGATTTATAGCCCATATGCGCCTATTTCACTTACAACGTTGCCATTGTGATTCATAATATAATTTTTTTTTATCTTGATAAATACTTTTATACTTTTATTTTTATAAGTATTCGTTATACAGCGATACACTATGGAATATAGAGATTAATTTTTTTGTTAATTATTTTAAGTTTTTCAAGTGTTATGTTTGAACTTTGATTAGGATAGAATGTTTTGTATTTATATATTTTTCATGTTTATCAAACTATTATCATTTATTTTATATTCTTAAGTTTTTTATGTATCTTAAAGAAAAAAAAGATATAAATATACTTATTTAAGTAATTATGTAGTATTTTCTTTTGTTTTATGCGTATTCTTACCTACAGTCACACCACAACAACATGCATAAATGGTTTGTTAAGAGTACTTAAGATTTAAGTTCAATAAAAGAAAATCGACTGTTGAAAAAAATATGAAAACCCAGATTAAAAGTGATTATCGGTAAGTTTGATGATTTAAAACTGCTTCCAAACAGGTAATCGGTAGTCCCATTTCTTATAGTTATTTTGGTAAACGGGAATCGATTACTGCTATTTCTAAAAACCACGATGGCCGGCAACTGGTTCCGAAAAAAATTTCCGGGTTCTCTAGACCCGCTAATCGATTTTTCCGGGAGTGGTTTCAAACCCTGATCTATTATCCATTTTTATACACTCGCAACTCACGTATCATACTCTAATTAAGGATTTGTAGTTTGTGTAAAGTTGCACTACACATACAAGAGAGTGTCACGTAAAAATTAAAAATAATTAAAACTGATAAATAATATTTAAAATAGCATTAACTTTAAAAGGTATTGTTTGTATTCCAGAGTACAGTTTGGCAACGTTGTACGGGTTTGATACATTTTTATTAAAAATATTTCGGGCGCAAATGCGTTATAAAAAAGGTATGATAGGCAAAAATAGTTTGCGCCGGGTGTGATTAGAGATATGGGCATGTAGCGCAAATTATATTATGAGAAGACACGATGTGGGGCAGATTACATATGTAATATTTACTATCTGTAGGTGGCGTAAATTACATGTGCGTAGTGTATTATAGTGGCGCAAATTACCATCGCACCATTATTTATTTTATCCATCGTGGTCTTGTTATAAAATTATACTAATTTTTTTTTAATTTTATTGATTTTTTTTATACGAAAAATGTCGAGCTACCGATCAAAATAACGAATCATATAAATACGTTATCCATACATAACCACGATAAGCCGATTCAATTTTTTAACCATAAATCCAAAAATTATTTTTAATGACAAGACCTAATGGCATAATCGGTATTGTACCGAAAAGTATAATACTGAATCGCCTGAAAATACTCATTTAAATTATAATGTAGATTTGAATGAGCAATTATAAGCAATAATAATATTTAATAAAAAATTAATTATATGCCCGTATGTTATTGCACTTGATTTTCGATTAAGTGCACCTCTAAAAAAATGTAATTATTCTATAAATTAATTATGAATTTCCTTTTATAAGTGTTTACTAGTGTATTAATTTAAAAAATACAAATATTCAAAATTTTGTGCGACTAAAAATTATAAACATTATAGAAATCATTAATTTTACTTAAGTCTATTTAAATGTTGGATTTCTATACCTTTGCTTCGATGATTGATAGTGCATCAGCCAGCGCTTTATATGCAGAAGTTTTTCCACTGAACGGCAATCCGACTATCATAAAACCATGCCTAACAATCATCATTTCATAAATTTGCTGTATTTTTTCTAAAAAGTATGGTGTGCACTGAAGATTTAATTTTTCACATGATTCTTCAATACATGTATTCAATATATTATAATCTGACTGTGGTAAAACAATCCCGGGAAATAAATCTGATATCAAGCCCTAATAAAATGATAAAATTGTATAACAAATTGTAAAGAGTCATATAACTAAATTATTATTATTATTTTTTTTTTACTTTAAATAAAGGAATATCATCTTTTAGAAATTTCGGTAAGTTTACATCGTTAATAGACCTCAAAATAAGTATATTTTCGTCTTCTTTAGGATATTTTAATTTTAAATTACCAACAGCAGTTAAAACAGTTTTTACAGCTCTCATTCCTACAATTAAATTTATTTTTAAATAAATTAATACGTTTATTAAAATGATTTACCATAGTCATAATGATTCTGAGAAGATAGCTGTTCAGAGCATAGTTTATAAATTGCAACTATTTTTATAGATAATGATCGAGCTAAATTAAATCCCTGAGAGTATAAAACTATTTCAGATATAAGTGTATAATCTGGTACCATCATTGCTACTGAACGAAATAATGCCTGTTTAAGACATAATACATACAATTACTAATATAAACCATAATATAACAAAAATAAATAAATATATGGCAATATTATAATTATTTTTAGTATAAACTTATAATGAAGTAATATTTAAATAGTTGAGTTTAAGTATACTTTCAAATTATCTGGCAATTCTGAACGTCCAGCATACCCAGGGTTCATGGTTATAAAAACTGCGCATGTTTTATCTAATATTAATGATGAACCCTCAAAGTGTATTTTTATTAGTCCTGCTTGTATACTCCGTTGAATAGTTAGTATTTGTTGAGCGACGACTGATAATACTTCTAAATCAATACGATTGAATTCATCGAAACAAGCCCAAGCACCACAAGATAATAGGCCCTTGATAAAATAAACATTATAAAACATGTTAAATTTATTTTATTTATTTTTACTTTGAAAAACTTTCCCAAACCAATGTAATCCATACTATCCGAACAATTAAATACCACGCATTGTTTGGATATAGCTTTTGCTAAATCTTTAGTAGTTTCTGTTTTACCAGTACCAGCAGGTCCTTCTGGTGCACCCCCCAAGTTTAATTGTAAAGCACAAAATAAAGTACGATAACAACGATCAGTAAGAGGAGTTATTACAAGTCTTGGTGAATTACCAAGGTATTCGTAACCATATCTTAAAGAGGCATTTATCATAAATGCATCCAAATTGTTTTCCTAAAAATAAAACTATAATTTATTGGTTTCTTTCTTAACTATCACATATTATCTTCTTACCATCCAATAATAACGAAGTTGACAAAGCCAATTAAAATCGTTTGTTTTATGAACTTCTTTCCTTGACATTTCTTCTACAACATCTTTTGCATGAACATCCATTACAACTAAAGCTCCTATAATAAAATATAATTTTTTCTCTTATTTATTTAGTTTTAAATTTTAATTCTAACCTAAAGTTAATCGAGTTTGAAGAGGTAAAACTCCTTGAACTAATTTGACTATTTTTTCTATTTGATTATTGCACTTAAGCAAATACCGAGGTAATCCTCTAGGATAGTGTAATATAGCTTGTGTGACCTCGGATGTCCAATGTGTACAAGAAACAGCCAAAACAGCTTGCCCAGGCCATTGAACAACCCACTCATGTCTTTCAGTATTTTTATAAGCCACTAACGCATTTTCAATTATTTCACGTACAGTCAATTTCATGGATATTTCCAAATCCACAAGCCATTTTTCTACTTGACCTCTAGTTTTTGCAGTGTCCACGGTTAGAGATAAATTTACAACCTCTTCTTCACTAGACATCATACTAATTACATCTAGATCTACTGTAAATTTTAACTTGGAAATTCCTTCAAAACACTTTTTCAAATGTGGTTGTACCCGCGTTGGGTCCTTAGTTTCAGATAAAATTTCAAGAAGTTCATCGTTTGATAGAAAAAAAAATCTTGGAAAATACAATCGTTTTTTTTCTAAATAATCGTTTAAACCTTTTTGAATTAATTCCAATAAATTATTGTTTTTCTTTAATTTCTCTAAAAGCTTATCGATGTTTATAGCCAATATAACTTTTTTTATTTTTTGTGCTTCTTTAATCATATCCCTCCAGACCTAAAATTTAAATATTTTATAAATAGTATTCATTTTCGAACAAAATAGTTTACTTTATCAACAGCATTAAATTTTCTCGATTCTTCAGGCATTTGAGTTTGTATATCTGGGGAAGAAAATATCGGTTCTAGATACATCCAAGTTAGTTGTACTTTTATCCAGTAGTCTAATATATCGTTCAATAGCTGTAATTTTCCTTCCCAATTTCTAGTTATTTAAGTTAACATTGTGTATCAATAAGTGGTATAATTTACAATAATAATTATTTACTTGATATTTTCTTCAAATGGTTTTATAAATGGTGAATTTTTCATTGTTGCAGTTTTTAGTATGTGATCATCGAGTAACAGCTGCACATCATCCACTCCTGATATAATGTAAGTTCCAGAATCTCTAAAAATATGAAATATATAATAATGATATGTATAAATATATTAATACCATTATCAGTGGCGTACATATGGGGAGGATTTCGGAATAAATCCCCTCCCTGAAACTAAAAAAAGTATTTAAAACACACTGAATGAAATTCACAATTATTGAAATTTTAATAACTCGAAAAATAACAGAATTTAGTAGGTATTTATTCAATTTAATGAAAACCCGAAAATATAAATTTCTCGTTTGAAGTAAAAAAATAAACATTTGAAATTAAATTGATTGACATGAACCCGTCATCATTTATTTGTAAATTTGTTGTGAGTATTCTAGTGTAAGTCATTGACTGTTATCGCGTGATATATAAGATATACAAATAGAGTGAAATTGAAATGATTATAGTTATCAATTTTTAACTTTATATATACTTTGACTTTTTTAACTCTATGAATTTTTAATTTATTCGTTGTCACAGATATAACGTCAACATTTAAAAAATGTTAAAAATTATGCATTAGGTTTGATTTTATCAAAGCTTCTTCAAACAATAAGCATTAATCTTAAAGAAGACACGTGTTTAGCCCAAAACACGAAATAAGAACTTCAAGAGATTCGAATAAATGCTACAACTATTTTCAGGGAAAATTTTGAACAAATGAAACAAATAACTACAAAGAATAATATAGAAGTTATATTATATAAATATTCTTAGAATAAAAAAAGAGACAGACTACTAGGTGTAATATTCAAGTGGACTATCCAAAAATATATTACTGAATTTCAATATTTATTCCATATTTAGACAAATACATCAATGAGTTAGAAAATCGATTTACAAATCACCACAAATCATCCAGTTTTTATTTTTTACTTATGGAAAATGATCACGAAAAAGATTTTTATGAACCTTACTAGGCAGCATAGCGAAAATCTGAAGATTTGAAATATATCGGAAATTGTGAAGAAATATTTAAAAACTAATTTAAACTTTGGCAAAAATTCAACGGAATTAAGACCAAAAAATTGAATGGACGCTGTTTTTATATGTAACAAAGACATTTTTCCAAACATTTACAAACTTTTACAAATATTAACAACTCTTCCTATTTCTTCTGCTACAAATGAGAGATAAACACAAACGTTTAGAATTTTTATTGTAAATTGAATAGTAATATAATCTTGAGTATATCAAAACAATTAAAAATAACTTTTAAATTTCTATGTATGGTATGTTTGAATTTTGTGCAATATACGTAACATAAATGTTTCATTATTATGATTTATGATAAAAATTATTGTTTATGTGAAACTTTCTGATTAACATATATAATAATATATATATATATATATAAGTGTATCGTTTAAATCCCCCCTATAAAAAATTGAATGTACCCCACTGACTATGATATTATCATAAAAAGTTTTATATAAAACCTGTAAGGCAAAAGATTAAAGTACAAATCCTTCCACTCTTCTTCCATCGCGATTAATTTTTTTTCTAAAGCTGTTTCTTTGGAAGCGCCATCACTAACTATCTCAAATTTAGGTACAAATTCATCCAAGTTATAATCCATAATTTTTAACAATGTAAGATTTTGATTAGGATGCAAAGGAAAACCAATAATTTCAGATATTTTTTCCCAGTGCCGATCTTTTAAACCTAGATTTCCTAACGTTAGAACAACTGCAATATGTTCTTTAAATGTTTCAACAGATTGTTTCACCTAAATAAATACAGTTTTTAATTTAAATTTCTCAACAATTTTTAGTTAAAGACCACTTAAAATATTTTTAATTTACCGCTACTGCAATCGCTAAAGGAGCAGGGCAATCAATAAATGTACGTTCTAATTTTACAATATTACGATAATACATGTTAACATCTTGCTCAATTTGTTCTGGATCGTAAGTTCCTATTTTAGCATTCATCCATTTATCATAATTCTCTAAAAACTCTGAACAATTATCATAAAGTTTTTTAAATGGAGTTAAGGCTTCTGCTACCTAAATTAACAAATTTAATTAAAAAAAATCATTTAAATGAAAAGTTAAACAACTTAACTGTTTTTCTAAGAGGATATGAACTTTCTTTCCATCCGAAATGCTTTTCTTCCTCATTAAACCCATCTATAGTATTCAAAGCATTGGTTAATTTATCATCTAGAATGTTTGCTTTGTCTAAATACACAGATAATAGTTCTATGTTTCCAAATTGCTTAAACTCCGAAACTTGATCTTGATAATTTTCCAATTCAATTTTAAATTTATTTATACGGCTTAGTAATAAATCTTGTAATTGTTTAGTTTTCTGTTCAATCATTTTTGTATTTTCCGCAAAAACAACGTTTATTTGTTCTATCCATTGAAATGTTTTTCCATTTTGTTTTAATTCTACGCCCGTTAATATAGTATAATCTGATAAAAACAATTCATAAGAGAGCACCACTTTTACCCGTTCTTCCATTTCAGGAATAACATTATTTTTCACTTCTGATATATATTTTTTTAAATTTACAAGCTCTCTGGTATCTCCTGGTGGAGTAAGGGCTACATTTTGTAAAGCGGCATATTCATCATTTAGTCTAAAAAATATAAACACATGACACTCAAAAATAATAACAAACAAACTTAAAATCGAATTACTTTTTCCCTATTGCTAAATAAGTATTTGTCATTCTGCTAATAACCATATTTTTCAATTTTTCTGCTTGTTTACATAATGTTTTTATTGTTTCATTACGACGTATTTCAAAAATTCCAACTACTATTTTTGGACCAACATTGACAGGTATTTCTAAGGCAATCGTATGGTAATTGACCACATATTTCTTATATTCGTCTATTGTGTGCTCTGAAGATAGGAATGTGTTTATTTCTTTTTGAGCTTGTCCATTGACCAAATAAAGATGTTCATCTAAATCGTGTACAACTAACTCTGGCAGTACCCAATAATCATCTAGAACTAAACTTAGTTCTTTGACATACTTATTTAATATATTTTTATCTATATCAACCTATTATAATAAATATAATAATTATGTTAAAATTTATAATGTAGTTACATTTTTTCTATAATACAATTTTACATTTAGAATTGTTTGAGTATGAGGATAGTGCTTATATAATCTGTGTTCAAGACGTTCCAAATTCAAGACCATATCCTTAATGTTATCATAAATAGACATTATAAATTCGCGAATTTTTTTATAAGGTGGATAAAACTGTAGTGTCGAATTTCTATATACCAAATCTGTTACAAACCCAGGATTAGTCTATAACATTAATAAATATCAATAAAGTTAACTATTTAAGTAGGGAATACAATTTCCTTATACTTTTGGATTGCACATGACTTCAGTAAATTGTTGCATTATTTTATATACATACTCTTGGTATTTAACTTTCATAATATATGCAATACAATTGAAAAATGATGTTTGCTTTTTAATGTTATCTTTTTTTGGAATGAAACGACTAAGCTTCGACTAAATCACAAAAAAATATCATTTTTTCTACTGTAGTGTCTTTCTAAACGTTTTATTAATAATTGGTTATAACGAAAATTTAAACCATTAAACCATTCTTTAACCATCAAAAGTTATTAAGTAAAAAATAAATTTGTACAAATATTTATTATGCTATTCATACTTAAACATAAAATTAACACAATTAAATTAAATTAAATACAATACATAAATTAAAATACTTTCATTATTTAAAAAAGAATAATGGGTTTGTTACTTGTTGAAATAGTTGCTCTATAGTTTGAAACCATGTAACACGCATTGTAATACTGGCATCAGCTATGCATTTCCTAACGTGCCCCATATATTCTGATAATGCATATTTTGTTGTGCCTCTACCGGCTATTTCTGCGTAGTCAAATACTTTAGTGGGTCTATTAGAAAAACAATATATATTAAAAATTTCTTATTTGTAATTAACAAATTAAACAACTACAATCTGCTTATTTTATTTAGAATTTATGTTATAAAAAAAATATATAAATGTATTTATTAGAATTGATATCAATATAAAATGAATTATAAATATTTCTTTTATTTTTCGATTTTTCCGTAAAACTTATAATTACAAAATTTTGTTATTTATCAAGTAAATTCAATAAAATAAAATTAAAAAACTAGCTTTTTAACAACTTCTATATGTACAAAATCACACATGATTGGGAACAGACTATTGTCACGTCACGTGAACTCGCGTGCTGTTATGTTGGCACATTGAATCCGAGATATCACGCTTAAAAATAAACTATGACTATAGTTATAGTGTATTTCTATATACTTTATACTATATAGTTATAGTTTCTTGTCACTGTGTTGTGTTGTAAGGTGTGTACTTAAAGTCTGTTACACAATTTTTTTTTCTTAGGTAAAATTAAAATGGAAATAGTAACTTCAAGTAGTTTAGAATGGGAAAAGGAATTAGAAAATACAGCTGTTTTTGCAGTTTTGGACGAACAAAATAAAAAATCCACCCAATAATGCTGGGTAGACGATATTAATAAAAAAATGTCAACATTGGGAGAATTCTATCGTCTAGTTCAAGAACTACGAAACGATCCAAGACGATTTCACATGTATTTCCGAATGACGAAAGAAGAATTTGATTATATACACGGCATTATTAAAAATATATATTTTTCTAAATAGACCAAATTCGTGATGACACGTGAGTCGAAAATAAGTGTGATATTAGAAAATCAAAATGTGCTATCACGCGTGAGCTAGGAAATGTGATGTGACACGCATGAGGTGATATTAGTGTGGCGCTGATACATTAAAATACTGTATAAATCTATATCCCACACTTTTTTCCCGTGACGTGATAATAGTCTGTCCCCACATTTAGAGTTGAAAAAGTACATAAATAGATATTCAGCCATTTTATTAATATTATATCTTCTTCTTTTATTATAATACATACGCATGTGTATGTTAATAATTGTGTACCTTACCTTCACATTATTGATTTTTATGTATATTCAACAAATCAGTTATCTTATAATATTTTCAAGGACCTTAGTTAATGTTTTTATTTGTTGTTTAGGTCTCATCCCCTACCTTTCCTTCCATATTAAAATAATTTAACTTTCATTGAAACGTACTCGAAATCCCTATGCCAAATTTTGATCATTTCAGAAACCAATGGATTGGCTTGATGCAAATTATCTCGAAGAAATAACGTGGCTCGTACCATAGATTTCTTCCATACCGCACTATTTTTTCGCAGTTCTTTTTTCAGTGGAGTGTCTAATGCCGGTAATTCATTACGAGTAGCAAATACATCATGCAATGAGTATGCTACAACAGCTTCTTTCATTGATTTCAAATAACATTCCTGTAAAACTTATACTTTAAAAGAAGTTCATTTATTTATTATTAACTCCATTCCTTAAGTGTTATCATAATTATTATAATTATAGTAGAATATAACTCAATTTTGAATTTCTTACTCTATATGAGATAATTTCTACAAAAATAGTGGATTGTATTTTAAATAGTGCAATTATAGCGTAGTTTTATTTTTTAACTATTTTCTAGGTAGTAAATAAAATGTATAATGAAAGCTTTATCATAAGGTAGGTACTTCCTAGAAATATTAATAGAAGTATTAAACATTTTATTAAAACCATAATTCAAAGATTTAATAAAATGTTTAGTACATTAAAAATCCAATGAGGTCGAAGAACAGTGTGCTTAATTATTGCAATATTTTAGTAACTTTTCGTTGGTTTTCCCCAAAAATTTTGAAAAATTCGTAAGATGGCACTCTCAAAGTAACCACTAGACAACATTTTCTATTCTAAATTTCTTATGTTTGTGATAATCAGATAAATTATTTTGGTCGAAATCGTGTACATGAACATGAAAACACAAATCATAATAAAACCTTTACATTTCTCATTTCTCACTCATTTAATCCTAACCCTTCCTTAAAATATGTTCGATGTTGTTTGCTCAAAATTAACCAAGCTTATAATAATTTATTTTTAAAATTTGTTTATATAACCAGTATTAAAAATTAACTATATATTAAGCTTTGGTCTTTCTCTTTCCTAAATTCCTAAGTAAATATAAATAATTAAATAAACTTACGTTGAATATTTCATTTTTAAATTCTGGCAGAAATGGAGACTTTTGAAATTCTTTGGGTAGCCGGTCAATAATACCATTTACTACTCGTGGATCGATAGGGGCCAAGTATTTAGTGTCAGCTTCGGCACCTTGCGTAATGAAAAAATAATATTTCAAAAATGTGTCTGTATCAGCATCAAAATTGTCTTCTGAATCTAAATATTTAGAGTACGATGCCACTAAATTTGAACGGAATGCTTCATGATTTTCACGGGCTTCTTTTGCCTTTTTCTAATCAAAAAACATAATAAAGTTTTATTTTTCCATAACACAATTAATTTACCAGTTACAGATTATAGTGTATCTTACAAGAATGTACCCATTACTATATCTTCTATTTATAAAAATAATATTAAAAATTCTTTTTCTTTTTTTAAACTCCCATGAAACATCAAAGACTCAATTTAAATTATATCATTAAGTATGAAAAATATACAAGTAAAAAAATATAATTAATATTATTAAATAATTATTTATTAATTATTTAATAATATTTATTTATTTTTTAATTTTTATACTATTTGATAATAGTTTTTTTATAACATTTATGTTTTGAAAGTGTTGGCATTTAAACTTCTTAATTTTTATCTACAGAAAAAATGATTTATCTAAACTACAGAATAGCATTGTATGATCTAATAATTATTATGTGTCATGTCAATATTGCAGTTAGGTTATCTAAAATTTAATAAGTATGCCATATACTGAATATGAAAACCAGATTAGCGTCATTATACACTTTTTAGAATGGGATTAAACTTTAACCAGCCCAAATAAAGGTAGCTAACTAAAACCGGTTCCTCTCAAAAATGTAAAAACAGCAATAAGGCTTATTTCACTGACGACTACCTCATTTAATTGCATTTAAAATTAAAATATAAAATAAGATAAATTCCTAAATATTGAATTCCCAAATCATACTTCCTCAAACTGCAATTATCGTCTACATCCAAGTTAAAATTTATGTCAGGAGTTTCGAAGATGACTATAGGAAAATAATAATTTATTATAACATTTATGCCATAACTATATTATTCTTTATTAAAAAAATTGAGCAAACTCCAGATTCAAATTAAAATAACATTCAGTAAAATAGCTCTTATGATTTGACTTGGAGTATATTTCAAACCATAAAATTACAATTGTTTTACCATATAATCATAAATGAAACGTTTTTTTTTTTTTTTTAAATAACTTTAACATTATTTCCATGGTTCATATTGCTCTTTATACGCATATTTGATTGAACTACCTATTAAAATTATAGTGTTTATAAAATTATACTGGTTATATTTATATACATTATTTAATCTAAAAACTTTTTATTGTTTTATTATAAATTATTTTAATAAACATTAATATATAAATGTTAATATTAAGTAGTGGAATACGCAGGAGGGTGTGGCAAACGGGATCGTCTTCTCCCCAATTGTCAGAAATAATAAATTTTTTACATTTTGAGTGTTACAAAGAAGTTATTGATTATTTTAATATTATTTTTATTTCGTAGCTGTGTTCACGATTTAGCAAAGAATATCTGATCATTGCAATCATGTAAGATTTCAGATTAATAAAGGTGGTCTAGTTAATAAATAGAACTAGTCATTTTACGAAATTTACGAGTTTCTTAATAATTGTAAAAAACTATTAAAACTATCTATAGATATTTGACAATAACATGTTTTTTTTAACTTTTTTTCGTAAAATGTCAGACAGAAAGTGTATTACAAAAAATGTATTACAAATTCCTTATCTTTTACTGATAAACTGTAAAAAAATTAGTATGATTTAAAAATATATATATATATATGAGTATTTTGATATATTTTGACATTACTAACAAAAATCATGAAAATACAAAATATTTTTATTGTAAGAAATTCATAAAATATTCAATTTTAAAAATTAGATACAAGATTTATTATAAAATTTCATTTGTAGCAAATAAAAAAATTTTTACTGGCAAGTGAAAATAACTTTTAAGTAAGTATTAGAAAATTAATTTTTGAAGAAATCAAGTACTTCATTGAATTTCTATTACACAATATTAATTATTTGGTTGTTATTCTATAAATATTCATTTTAGCTATTCGAAATATTTACTAATTACTTATACCTATTAGCATTTTACAGAAATTTCATAATTTTCGAAATATTTTAACGACATTTAGAATTTTTGAATCTTCCCATATTTTGATTTAAAATAGTTTAATAACAGCATGTTAAATACAAACATTTTGACCATTAATTAAAGTATGATATTGCAAACAGTAAATACTCCCTTGATAAGATTCATGTTTAGTAATTTTAAATATAAGCTACAACAGAAAGAACATCATCAACTATAAAAATTTTAAATCATATTTAAGATCAGCCATGGTGGGAAAATAAAACTAACATAAGAAAAACGAAAAATAAACTTTCAGGATTTTAAATTATATAATAATGTTCAAATATCTCATCCAATTAATAGACGGGACAATATATATTTGTTTTTTAATGGCTAATATTTTTTGATTAAATGTAAGTTTTTTTCATATATATTTTTAATAGTACATTATCAAAATAAAAATAATAAAATATCTATTGCATTTTTTCAATAAAAATCTTGTGAGAACTAATTTAATAAATAAAAGGTAGCAAAGTAAATTATTAGTTTCAAACCACCATCCTAGCTAATAACTAGGAACCGGATTTATATGCACAAAAAATCCTCAAAATATGCCTTTAAAAATGCTGTAATATGCTATAAAATATGTATTTATTTTTAAATATGTACTTAAATATTCATTTAAAATTCTGTTTAAAATTATGTACAAATATTATAAATGTAGTATTATAAATGTAAAAATAATCATTAATTAATACGGTACTAAAAAAATGATAGAAAAGCTTTTAAAATATTTTGTCGTCTTTATCGCCATTTAACATTGTTTATCTTCAATCTATAAAGTATAAATATCAACATTAATAAAAAGTGAAAACAAAAATTGAATTCATATTTTACCTTGTTGCATTGGATGATATGAGTATGTAATCTTATCTTTGGAAATAAGAACGTGTCGCAATTTTATCGATATTATGTGGCTGTGATCGTGAAAATACGATGAAAACGAATATATGTGCTATTAATAATTAATATGCACTATAAAACTACAAATATGCATTAAATATGCATTTAATAGGTAAAAACGTTGAAATATGCAAAATATACAAAATAAAATTAGTGTTATTTTAATAAGAAAGATCTAAATCAGCGACAATGCTCATCAGATTTTAAAAAGCTTATCCCAATACATATATTCATTTACATATAAATCCGGTCCCTACTAATGACCAAACCTGAGTATTGACTGTAATAAACTGATTTTAAATATATAAATACCATTTTTTTTGATTTCTCAGTATATCCATGACAATCGCTTGTTTTTTTCATTAGTTTTTTTTGTGATTTACTTGTATCCACATTTTTCAATTCAGAAAAATGATCTTTATCCAATTGTTGTAATTTTTTTGACATTATAACACGAAAATATAGAAATTATAGAAAATATCAAATTTATTTATTTTGTTAATTTAATTTTTAAATTCATTCACGTGAATCAAATATATTCTATACTATAAATTATAAAAATTGAAGATGTAGGTAAAAGAACTAATACAAATGTATTTATGTAAACTTATTTAACTGGATGCACAATAAGCAAAATAATAATAATAATATAATATTATGAAAGTTTAATCGATAACTCAACTGATAAAACGTAAGTAGGTAACTAATAGCTACCAAAATTGGCCAATAGCAGAACACAAAACATTTCAGGGTTTTACAAATATCTTATAATAAAGAAATTTCAATTAAGATGATAATACATTTCACTCCACTAAATTATATTAAATAAAACACAACACTGAAGACTGTAAATTTTTCAAAGAAATACATAAAAAAATTAAAGTAATATTAATAAGACTTGAATTCGGCATACTAAAATTCGTCAAAGTTACTCAATGAACATGAAAAAACTTCTTATTTGATCAAGTCATCATCAAACACATAGATACTTACTGAATGCCGAAAATAATTCAATATCGGTATAGATTACAATCTCATCGAATTAAAAACAGAAATACTAAGCAATCATATCGACAGACATTCATTAACTTCATTAATTTCATTATTATCACCAAACTACTAACTAAAGTGTAAACAAAACCTTTTCTTGTATAAAAAAATACACGAAAACATACAATACATTACGAATTGCATTATTATACAAATATATTTAATGTACTTAATTAAATAATTATTTTCTTTTTATTTATTTACTAGCTGACCTGGCAAACTTCGTACTCACTACCTAACAATCAATTAATGTAGTTTAAAATACCTTTTAAAGTTAAAAGTTTAAAAAAGTTTTAAAGTAGTTAAAATACCTTTTAGCTAAACTTAATTTATGATTTTAATTAACGTAATAAAATTAATACAAAAAATGTATTAAGTTCCATAATTTATTATGTTAATATACATAAAGACAATTAAGATTTAATAAAACTACAAAAACTAAGTGATTGCAAAAACGTCACGATTCACGTATTTTATAAAATTGAGATATTAATAAAAATGTATATTGTGATTATAATAATTAGTATTAATATTATGATTATATTTGATTCGTAATGTGTTTCTATGAATTGAGTGTAAGAAAAGCTTTAGTTATACTTTTTTATCAGATAAATATATAATAATAATCAGTATTTTCTCATTAAACGCATAGAAACACATGACTAGTAGGTATACGTTTTTATTAATATCTCAATTTCATAAAATATGAGACAATTCTTCAATCATGGATTCAAGTATTTCAATGGTGAGTCAGCAAAACATTTCTTTTATTAAAGCTATGTATTTTGCTGCAACGGGTTACACTTAAGTTGATCCTCTTCAATGAAGCTCCTTGTGATATACGACATTTTTCGTTTTGTTATCAGGAACAAAAACAAATAAAGCAGATGGTTTGCCGGGGTGCGTTACGATTGCCTATGATACGATTCACTATGGATTTTTTTCAATACTACGATTGTGTACATTCTACCTACTAATACTTAGTGCAATGTTGCCGCTGTTCAAAATCGTGAAAATTTGTAATATAACTTAATTTAGGAAACGATCGCTTATATTTTATACAATTTTTATAAACAATATAATTTATAAATTGTTATATAACAATTATATACAACCAAATTATATATTTCCAACTAATATATGGACTGAAGAACCTTCAATAAATTAATAAATAAATAAAAGGTATCATAGTTTTATAAATTATAAGAAAAATTTGGAAGTATTCTTGGACAATATAACTTTAAAGTTTATGTTCTGATACATAAAAATAAAGTGTCATAAAATATGTAGGTCATTATTAATTCCGTAATTTTTAGGTATTTTAATGTCAGAACAACAAAATGGTCCAAAGAGTTTCCACAGAACTTTTAACGCTCAATTCTATAGCGCACATCCACCAATATACTTTGATATAGACCAAGGTTTTAAAAGATATCTTCTAAGCCCGTAATATAAGTGCTGCTAACCGCTTTAAGCACTAAACCAATTGCCATATTTTAATATAAATATTTTTCTAGTCTAAAAAATGTTTCTAAAGCATACAATTATAGTTGTTTCCTTTGTTACTTAAAATTTTAATGGTGTAAAATAAAAATATACAGCTGTTATAAAAATAAATACATATATTCATATGAAAAACTTAATTATAAAAATGTGATATAAAATATAATGATAAAAAAAATGCCTAAATAGTTCATTTTTAAATTATATTCAAAATTAAATAGTTAGTATCTAGTACCCTTCGGCTTCGTGTGCGACTTTTGAGTCGCAAAATCATCTATTATGACATCGAAATCTATTTTGTTCACTAGTTCAGTTTCAATAAACTCAGTGAATTTAGTTTATCCCCTTCCATACTTGCTCTCAAATAATGTTTTATGCGTTTTAACGTAGAAAGAGACCTCTTGGCAGAACAGTTAGTAATTTCCATACATAAAGCGTACGTAAAGCTATATCTATGTTGAGAAAAACTGTATCTAAAGTATTACCGCGTAAGAGTATTGATAACTCGATAACTTAATCAATATTTTTATTTATACTTTGAAGATATGCTCGAATATGAACACATTCACAAGCGGATGATTTTTTGAAATCATAGTTATAAAAATGTTGAAGCTTATTAGCTTTTTGAATTATTACTTCAAGTGAACACAGTATTAAATTAATCAAAAAATCATATTTGTCAAATGTATTAATATAAGCAGCGCATCGCTTTTCAATATCACTCTTCAGACGATCCAATATTGTAAAGTATGTTTCTATTCATAACTTATCACTTCCAGTCATATGGACTTCATTTTCTCTTGTCTTGCCTGCTTGAAGTTTGTATTTTTTAGTCCTTACTTTATCAAACTTGTACTCTTCACTCTTTATTTTTTTGCCAAAATTACATATTAATTAAAACATTTATCATTTCGAATAGAAGTTATGAAGTTAATTAATGATTTTTAGAGTTCGACTACTTTTTCCAAATCTGTGTTTACTTTTTGAAGCTCTTTACTTGTGATATTAAAACGCTCCAAAATTGCATTCCAAAAACAGTCATAAAAAATGTTTCAAAATGGTTAGTAGTCAAAATAGTCAAGTTTATGTCAGGTTGCTTGCCAGGTGCTTCACAACGCGTCGTCACCTTTTTAAAATCATCTTCTTTTAATAAAGAAGATGATTACTTATTTACTTACTTATTTATTTACTTCTCATAATATCGTCATAATTTTGATATAAGCTGTTACAAGCTTCATGACGAGCAAACCACCTAGTTCTATTTACTCTTTTGATAACTTTTTTACCGAGCGTTAGGCTGGACTTTAAAATATCCCATCGTTTAGTAAATGTAGAAAAAAATAATAAAGATGTTGAATAGTGTTAAAAAACAATAACTCTTCTTTCGTGCATTCAACTACATAAGTCCCAACCAATTTTGCGATTTAGCAGCGCATGGTACGTAATACGCATAAGGATTTTTTTTTTTTTTACTATCCTTGCCTGTAAAACCGAGTACATTTCAGATATATTGGAGGCGTTTTCGTACGAATGGACCCTGTATATATTTATGTCAATATAATTTTTAGTTAAAAAAGACATTACGGCCGTTTTAAGTGTTTCAGATTTATGCCCAACATATGGTAAAAAACACATAAAGCATTCGATTGGAAAACCGTAATCTCTGACGTAACGAATAACGTATGCTTACTGGTCTGTGTGGCTGATATCAGGAGTGGATCTGTCTATAAGCAGTCAATTAGACCAACACCGTCGTTATCATTTTGTTGTTATCAAAAATAAAATTGTTATCATAAATATAATTTTATCATAAATTATAAATTTATAATAAATTAATTACATTATTTTATTTGTTACAATGTAATATTAAGATATAAATTCAAAATTATATTGTTAAATAATGTAGGCAATCAAGTTGTTCTCAATATTTATTGTTTTCCCTGTATTTATTTATTTATAATTTAGACGTGCTTAATATTTTAATATAAGAATAGGTAGGTATAGAAACATTGATGCGGCAAGCAATTAAAATTAATAGTTGAGTAACAGTAGTACTATAAAGAATTTAAAAATATAGGTGCTTAAACAATACATTACAATACTTATTATGTAGTAGTTAACTTTAAGTTAAGATTAAAGATTAAGATTAAAAATTGAAATTTTAAAGTGAAAATTAAGTTAAAAAGTTAAGTTAATTTTAATTAAGTTAATTAGTTCGTTACTTTTTTTACAAATTAATTTTTTACTTAATAATTTACTTTTTTTTAAGATTAACGTGTTAACTTTAAGTTAATTTTATTTAAAAGTATCTAAATTAAGTTAATTTTAGTGCAAAAAAATAATGCAAATTTTTAAATGAGGTTTTTAGTAAATTTATAATTTACTATTTTAATATGAATTTCCTGTAGACGAAAATTATATGAAAAATAACTTTAATAGTCATTATATGGGCTATATTTTACTATTATATTTTTATAACATTGTTATTGTATAAACACTATAAACCCATGAAAATCCTAAGAATATTCTGTGAAAATAATAAATACCATGAGAGCGAGTGTCGATGGAGGACTAACCACAAAACAACTGTGGTACAATTTCCAATTTAATTTCATTATTCAATTAGCATGTGGTCTATTCATATCTCGTTAGAATTTATAATATATTGTTATTAGTTTATTACTTTATTAGCTTATTATATTTCTGTGAAAGTTTATTATTTCTTTAGTAATTAATTAGTTATTAATAGTTTTTAATTAGCTAGTTAATACTTTTATGTATCATTTTAAATTTGCCCAGTAATTTTCTTGAGCGTAAAAATACTAATATTATGTGTGCAATTATTTATTTTTGCAAATTAGAAAATTTAACAATAAACTAAGTTACTTTTTTTTCAAAGTTAACTCTTAACTTAACGAGTTAACGAAAAAAAAAATATAAGAATTTTTAATTCAACTTAACTTTATTATTTTAAAATAACTTAACGAGTTAAAAAAAAATCGTTAACTACCCCAATCTTGTATATGTTACGGGTAATATTAACATTTAGATAATGTCGACATTATCCGGTTAAAGTTGACTTTAGCCATCTGTTATAGCTAATATGTAATTTTTCGTTTATAAGCAGAAATTATTAAATTATCCGGATAATGTTAAAAGTTATATTTTAAATAGACTATAGAGTTTTTATTAGCATTCTATACAATAATAAAGCGTCGGACTTCCAGAGTATAATATCTTATCTTAACTTGTAACCGAGTTAGTCAGTTATCTTACCGATAAAGAGAATAATATTTCGTTATATAGGTTTAATATATATCTTAATTGTACGACATTTTTTGTTATAATTTTATATACACTATACAAAATATGACGTCGTGCATCGATCTGTTATTAGTCTGCTTTCAGTTTTCACACGTAGTAATTGCAAGTACAATGTTATTAGCAGTGGCGAAACCAGGATTTGTTTTCGGGAGGGGTTGTGAATTTGGAAAAAGAAAACATTTTTTACATGCATTTGGTGGGGAAAGGGGGTAAAATTAAGTTAGGTTTATAAGTAAAATATTTAAACTACAAATTAAATTGTTTAACTTCTATTTATAGATAATGCATATTGGAAAATAATTTAGACTCATTGAATATTTAAATAGGTAAACTTTATTCATAAATCAAAGTCTAATAAGTAATAATATAATAATTTACAGTTTAAGATTAATTCTCCGTGTAGAGTGCTTTGCCATTTCATCTAGCACCAAATCTGATTAATTTCAATATTTGTATGTATAATTTAAAGTAGCCATTTCATTAAGTCTCTGCTGTCCTGTAGTGATACGTAAATAAGTTTTTAGTCTCCTAAATGTAAATGACCTTTCTCCTGTAGCAGTTATTACTGGCAATATAATTAAAATTTGTAATAGTTTTGAAATTACTGGATACACTTGAAAATCACATTTAAAATATTTATCTATCAGAGATAATCTATAATCTAAGCACTAGCTTAGTGTTTACTGGGAATACGGCACTGTGTAAAGCCCGGTTTCCACTAGTCAAATGTTATATCCGAGGTCACGTTAGTGTTACTCGAATCCATGGCATGGATAAGGTTTTGATCGTGTGGACACGTTTACATCCATGCTGACCGTCACGAACGAGTCATTAAACACGTCCGTGCCGAAACAGCCATGTAACAAAATGTTCGTACGAATTAAGTGGTAATTTTGTATGTACGGCAGATAATATAATTTCTTTATTATTATTATACATTATTCAAGTTCATAAATCTAAATTTATATTGTATGCTAATTAAAAACAAATATTTATTATTTGATAATAACATCCTTTCACATGACATATATTATTAATACTAACCAATACAGACCAATGTATTTTTAGTATTTAGGAGCTGGACTGACTGGTGGATCTGAGCTTGTTGAATAAAACTAAAAATCATAAAAATAATTTAAGTATTTAATTTATAGTTAAATAATAAGCAATTTTGTTTTCTTATATTTCTTAACCACATTTTTCAAATTTTAATTCATACAAAGTTTACAGTTAAAAATTATTTTACTAATATAAAAATTTATTTTTAGATTTAGATACTGATATAGCAACTTATTTGATTGTCAGTAAAAAATTGCCACAACTGAAATGTTTTTAAGAAATTAGAATTAAACAATTGATAACGAGTTTTGTTGTTTTTTATTCCAATCAATTAAATTATATCTAGTAAGGAGTAATTATTTTAATAACTTTTATTAAATTAGTTTAATTTGTGAAACTTTATCACATAAATTAATGGTTTTTAAATATTTTTAGAAGTAGAAATACGCCAATAAACAAATATTCTTATGAAAATCTACTTAAAATGGTTATTATGGATATTCTAATTTAAAAATGTTAAAAAAAAATGATAAACATTAAGTAAATTCACAAATCAATATATATTTTAATCTATTATATCAAATAAAATTATACTACTAAGTATACATTATATGGAAATACCTTTATGAAAAGGTCTATTCTTCATGATTACTAGTTAACAATTTTAATGTTAAAATTTATTCTATAGTAATATAAGATAACTTTGATTAATCTGATTTAGACTCCGAATAGACAGACTTTTTTTTTCAAATAAACAGTAAACATAAATAATCAAAAACTAAAGACAACACTACTGATCATCATAAAATTTAAGTAAATTTAATATTTTGAAAAATAGTCATCAATTTAATAAATATTTCTGCATACTTTGTAAGTCTTTTGTTTATATGCTTCCCATGGTTCTTGATTATCCTTTGGATGCCAAGTCACTTCAGGACTTTTTATAGCCAATCGAGCCAAATAGAAAGCAGCACCAACCATTCCAACACCAAGGCAAGCAAATAAAGGAATTAGCTGAAACAATTTAGTTTGAGTCATACAATTTTATTTGACCTTCATAAAATAATCTAAACTTGATTACAAATGAAAAATATTATAAATTAAACTTTTTTAATATACTCACAGACTTGTGCTTTTTCAAGCTCTCTATAGTCATTCCTGGCATAACCATTTTGCAATTATTGGTACTACCTTTTATTCAGTAATAAAACGAATCAAAAAATTATAGGAGTAACAAGTAATGTTAATCAGCAAATAGTATGATTATAAAGTAATCGTAAAATAAATTTTACGTCTTTGAAGGAAAGCATATAATATCAATTAGGGTTAGATTACAGATGATACCGCAGTGTAGCCAAATATACATTTTTGTAATAATTTAAACGACATTTATCTTAGAAAAGAAACATTAACTCTGTAAAATCAGAGGTAAATATACAACTTGCCGTACAGAATGGCGGCATAATTTTTTGTTATTCAAAAAATTATAACTGTTTTACTGTATTATGTTTAAAAAAGAAATATTGTTGGATTTTAAACTACTTTTAATAGTATCAAATTTTATTTTACAAGTTAATTAATTTTGATTATTTTTGACATGATTAGGACCTTCTTATAAAATTAAATATTTAATATTTTAACTATTTTAAGATCAAAGATTGTTAAGACATTTTACTAGGGCAGCGGTTCTCAACCTTTTTATTTTTGTATACCACCTACACAATTTGAAAATTTTTACATACCATCTAACTTAATCAACTTTTATTTCTTATTAAAAATATATAAACTATTTCATATGTATAGAATTTTATTTTATTAGACTACAAATGTATGACAATATAAGTATTTAGGAAGAAAAGAAATTAAGTTAAATAAAATATTTACAATTATTATTATGATTTACGACGGTTGGTGTTTTGAACGGACGATGACATCAATTTCGATCTTCATATTAGTAACTTTCAGTCTTAAATCACTTTCTATGTTCAATCTATTTCGATATTTATTTTTCGTATACAATAAGTGGGAAAATGTATTTTCGCACAAGTATGTTGACACAAAAAGGATTAGAAATTGTAGATCTTGTGTGGATAACGAAGAATATTCTTTTTTCACGTCCAGCCCAAAATTTTAGATATTTTTGGTTTTGAAAGCAGTTTTTAAGGCAGAATCACTATTTACATCTATGAATAATTTGCCAAAATAACATCTGTCAGAGCATATTTTAACATACAAAGTACGTGGCACTAGTGCCCCCCAGTGACGGTTGAATGCTACCCAGTGGTGGGTAATCGTGCCACTAACCAACACATTCTCATAACGAGTAATGACCGATGGCAACGTCTATTATTAGTATTATTATGTTATACAATACATATATAAAGAACATAAAACTATTTTAAGCTTTCGACTATTGTATAGTTTATCTCATATTATATAATAAACAATAATATTTTTTGAATGTAGAACATGTCACATGCACGCAATTATAGCTTTTCTATGCCCGGAATTGTTTATATATAAATAAATTGATATAAAATACAAATAGAATAGATATAAATGTATACAAAAATAATACACGTAATTTTAACAATGTTATCAATTTCTTCGGAAGTCGTCGAGCGTCATCGTCTTCATAAATTGATGGCTAGGTGGGAATAACGTGCTATGGCCTATGTTACTATACATTTCTGATTTTATACTTATTAGTTATTTGCGTGCTGTGCTCCTGATGTTAAAGGCACGCGACCCAGTGACCGTCGAAACCATACACATTACACTGTACAGGTACATTTTATATTACGTTTACCTATAAAATTATTTAGGAGCTTACAGATACGACTATACGGGTTGAAACGCGGTGGAATACCTAAGGGGGTACCTATTGGTGGCGGCAGGCGTGTATCTAGAGTTTTATTTCGTGGAGGGCTGATCAAATTTTTAAACATCGTCATACAGTAAAATAAAATTATTTTTAAGCCCTCCGGCTCACTGAATTTGTATGAAAAAAAAAATATATTAATATAATAATAAGATAAATTTTTATCAATATTTGACGTATTTGTTTGGTATGATATAGGATTGTAGGCGCTTATTGAAAAATTTATTATTATGGCTAGAAGAATAACAGAGTTCTTTAGTTCAGTTCCCATTAAAAGTAGAAAAATTGACGAACAGCTAAAACAAGAAGAATTACCAAAAGTGTCAAATATTTGTTCTGATTTATCTTCCAACAATTCTGAAGACAGTAGAAATGGGTGTGATCCTAAAAAATTAGAATCTACCAGTGATCAAACTGAAAGTTATGGCAAAATAACTGATACGATTGCAGAACCTACTGAAACAAAAAAATCAGAATGGTATAAAGGATCTAAGCTAGATATTTCTTGGATTCTTCAGACTTATTCCTTTTTTCAAAAAATAAAATTGGGGAAAAGATATGGAATAAAATGCATGACTTGTTTTACACATATTCAAGAAGCAAAAAAATTCTCCAAAAATGGCACAATACCAATAGCTGATGGAGTGCGATGTGATAGCCAAAATAAATTAGAGAGGATCATCGATCATTTGACAACGGAAGCTCATAATGCAGCTACAAATCTTGACCAAATGCAGATGAAATGGATGGAACAATCTGATGAACACCCATGGATAAAAACCCTGAAATCACATGAAGCTGAAAAAGTAAAATTGTTAATTGAACTTGCAATTGATGTCTACAACGACAGTCGCCAATTAACACTTTCTGCACATTCTTGGCCTTCTAGATCGTTGTCTAAAATGCATGCAGACTCGCAAATAGTATCTTATAAAGAAGAAGGACTGACATCACAATTTGTCCAATTTAGCCCTACGGCTGCATTATTACAATATCGAAACCCAGTTATTTACCGAGAGATGTTAGATACAGTTGGACGTTCTGTAATGGAAAAAGTTGTAGACCAGCTGAAAAAAATTGATTGTTTTTCTATACAAGTTGATGGATCAGTAGATAAATATGGAGTTGATAACAAATTCATAACTGCTCGGTATTTAACAGAAAATCTAGAGATAAAATCAGTGTTCTTAGGAGAAAGTAAATCTGATATACGAGGCGCAGAAGGTTTGCTAGATTCGATTAAAATTGTCTTCCAAGATCTTGATATTGAAGATACTGCAAAAGAAAAATTAACTGGTGTAACCACTGATGGAGAAAATGCCAATACTGGTAAAAACGGTGGATTATGGGTACGCTTAAAGCAATACTTAAAAAAGGATATATTTTGTATGTGGTGCGTTGCTCATAGATCGGATTTGGTATTGTCTGATTTAGAATCCACTATTACAGAAGTAAGACATTGGAAGACCAATTTGAAGGCTGTCGCCACCTTTTATCGAGGATCTGCTCTTCGTTACGAATGGCTTGAAAAAATTGGTGATTCTAAAAAAATTTCTATTTATCGGTTTCCCGCATATTTTGAAGTACGATTTGCTGAGCATCTATTAAATTTGTCTAAAGCTCTTTGGAAAAACTTGCCATGTATGCAAATACATTGGCAATCAATTATTGAAAGCTCTGACTCAACAAAAATTGAAAAAAGCTACTGCTAAAGGATTCTTACGTACATGGAAAAATGACGGTGAACAAGAACATCTCACATGTCTTATGATGGACATTTTGAGACATATTGAAAAACTTCAAAAAGATAGTCAAAAGTCAAAGATTATTATGACTGATATAGAGCTCTCAAAGAAAATTGCTGTGGATTCAATTGCATTGATGGAAAATGAACCTTATCCAGGTGGAAATGAAGAAAAATTTATGAATTGTCTTGCAGGTGAAAATATTGAAGAAACGAATACAGATATTGTTGAGGAAGTCCTGAGAGAACGACGTAATTATTTTGTTTCTACTAAAAGGTGTTGGTCTGCAGTGAGAAAAGAAATAGTATTAAGCTGCAAGGAATTTCTTTCTCAGAGATTGGCTGTAGACCAAGAAAACATTATAGAACGCATGAATAAATTTACTGACGCAAGATCTTCAACTGAAACTATTCAAGCAGGACGGACTGACGTTTTAAATCTATTTGGAGAACACGCAGTTTCTTGTTTTACCGACGATGTTATAAGTCTTTATGCTGCAGACAAACTTCCACCTCCTCTAGAAATGAATAACTCTACAGCAAAAATGTACCATTTTTTAAAGGTATCTACACAGTCTTCAATATTTTCGAAATTGGTGCAGTCGTTTATCAGTTTAACACCACATAGTGCTGGACCTGAGAGAGCGGTATCAGTACATACGACATTAAAAACGAACAAACAATCGAGTTATTCAAGAGAGGCTATAAATTCAAGAATGTATATCGCTCTCAATGGGATTGGGACAGCACTGTTTGACCCAAGGCCAGCAGTTGCTAAGTTTCTGGAGTCTAAGGAGAGAAGGAGGAAACTACCTGACCCAGATCTATACAAGAATCAAGAATTTATACAAAAATTTTTTTCAATTGATTCAAACTTGTAATTTTAAATTTTAATATATATTTTTTTTAAATACAGATAGGTACTGATAACTATATATATATACATACTCTCTTCTACTTATTTTATCAAGTTTTTATAATTGAAAAATCGGTTATGTTGATACTTGATATATTTCTCAGTAGAGTTCAGTAAATTAACCTATTTATAACTTATAGATATATTTCTCTGTAGAGTACAGTTAATAAACCTATATTAAAATGTTTGAGATAGAAGAGTTGATTTCCTCCTATGTTCCTCTCGTAGACAATTTTATTGAAGTGCCACCCAGTTAAAATTACTTAAAATATGCTCTGACATCTGTAATGTTCTTAATATAACCATCTTCGAAAGGGTTTATGACCAATTTATTTTCTGAATTGTCCTCAGGGAAATATTGTGAAATGTTTAATTTTAGTGATTGTAGGTGTCCGAAATGTCTGTAATTATATTCGAATTCGGCTGAATTCGTTGTTTTTTCAATATGTATTTATTGTCTCGAATGCTGAATGATCATTTTTTGGATACTTGAGAAATAAATATATCCAACTTTCTCACGAATGCATTAACTTTATCACTAGCATAAAATATGATTGAGTTTGATCCTTGCAGACCCATAGGTATTTAAAATATTTAAACGGTCAAATATGTCAGCCATGTATGCTAGTCTTAATAATCATTCATCGTTACAAAACAATTTGAACTTTTTTTAATCAATATCAGTTAGAAATGATAAAACTTCCGACCTAAGCTCAATTAGTCTAGTGAGGATTTTTCTTCTTGAAAGCTACCTTACCTCTTTGTGTAGAAGAAAGGAGGTATGATTACTGCCCATTTCGTCACATAATAGTTACTGTGAATAATCATAAATTAAGAGGTCTGATTTTTTGATTAGATTTACGACTTTTACAGCAATATCAAGAACTCATTTTAAACTTCTAGGCATGTTTTTAGATGCTAATTCTTGCCCCTGAATTCAGGGGTGAATCCAAAGTCGGAAAATTGTGGGTCAAGCCATTTCAAGAGGCCATTTATTAGGGATGAAACTGAATTAAAAATTAATACTTTGTAAAAAAAAATCACAATATTCTCATAAATGTGTATAAGTATATTTATATTACATTTTAGAATTAGTGATATCACCGATAATGACTTATTCAAGATTAATAAATATAATCTAATTTTATTAGCGCAACAAACGTACGGAATAAAATATAATTTACTTAACATTCTACTAAAACGATATAATTTCAAATATAAATTTTGAATTACAATGGCATTCATTTTCAAGTAACTCCGATAGGCCAACTGTCCAAGAGTTCAAATCAAGGTCTAAGAAGAGAAAAAAATTTCCAAGAGGCCAATTTTGTTAACAAATATTAACTGTGGGTCAGCTGACCCCCTGACCCCCCCCCTATATCCGCCCCTGCCTAAATCATGCAATGCATAGGTATATACATAGTGGGGTAACTTTTTTTATTTTTACTGCAACTCCGGTCAGCCTTCCAGTCATTGCTCTAACTCCATCAGAACAAAAACTTACACATTTACTCCACGGTACATTTATTTCAATTAAATATTCATTAATTGTTATAAAAATAATTTCAGATGCTGTGTGAACTTGTAAAGTTTACAAAACAAAAATTCTTCAATAATTTCATCGCAATCGAAACGTATAAATACCATTAATTAAGCCATGTTAGAAGTATCAGTACTCTCATCAATTTGTAGAGCAAAGAAATTACAATCTTTCAAATAAAGCAATAACTTATTTTTTACATTCAACGACATATTATAAATTCTTTTTTTGACAGTATCGTTTGAAAGTGATACTTTTTCTATTTCTTTTACGGTCTTGTCTCCAAGAACACATCACACGATTTCTTTTGCTGCAGGTAACATTAGTGTTTCCCCAATTGTCTGTGGTTTTCCATTCGTGGCAATAACTAAACTCGCTAAATATGATGCTCTAATGATACTTAGTATACTTATACTTAGATACTTATACTAGTCACTATGGTATATTTACGTAAATTTGTCAGTAGTCATAGGTTTTTATTTAATATTAAAATTAAAAAAGTAATAAAAATAATTAGGCTTTAATAGTGATATGATAGAGCCACGAAGAGTATATTTTCATCATGGTTATCTATAGTAACCTGATACTATTGATAACCTAACACTTATAGCGTGCCCAGTGGTGAGTTTGACATGGTTACACAATATTAAAATATAAGCCACTGCATTTTATAAAGAATTTTCACTGGGCGACAAAAAATGTTTTTCTCAAAATAGTCAATGTATAATACCATAGTACGATTATAGTATTACGAGTTTGTTTCGCATTATTTCGCCCAATCTTTTAAAATACTGTCGACAGAGTATAATCACTGGGCGACATATGTGTCGCCTAGTTAAATAGTTAAAAAATGCACTGATATAAGCAGTGTCACAACTATCGGGTGTGCAAGGTGTGCATTGTACATCGGCCCCCAAACCGTTATAGGCCCCACACGAAGTATTATTATAGATTTGATTGTAGACATTTCAACTAAAGTAATTTGATAAATATAAAAAACAGATTTATCATATTATTAAATATTTATAATCAAATAATATACCCAACTACTAACTCGTTGCCAATAACCAAATGCAATACCATTGATTATAAATACTATTATATTACTAAAGTATTTATAATGCTAAGGTAATACTATTTCTTAGAACAGAAATAGCAGAAAATAATGCAGGTCATTTAAAATTAAAGAACCACTACCTTCCATATTATAAACTCCGGTTAACATATTTTATTTATAGTAGGTAAATACTTTTTGGAAAAAATATTTAGGCCCCAAATTCAGATTTGCACACTAGCAGGGACGCAATTTCAATGAAAAAACTGGAGGTGCTAATCCCCTTTTATCTTTTTCATGTTTCTTAATGGTAATATACACCCACAACCCGTACAATTCAACAGTAACTAAAATATTTAGTAAATATTTGAATATTTCTAAGTTTAAATTGTTCGCTTTGATTTTATATTTTTATTGTGCATGTAATGAATTACCCGTCTGTAAACACAAATATTTCATCACATGATCACTTTCAGATTCTAATTGAAGTAAAGAATATTATGGTTTTATAATGATGTTTGTATCTTATTTTTTTAACACTTTTTCGCTTAGAAATACTGGTCCAAAATTTTTTTCGAGGAAATGTTCAAATTTTAAATTGGCATACTTTGGTACTTTAAATATGTCATTTTTTTTAAATCTTAATCATTTTTCTAGGTGTGAGAAAAAAACTATCCTGAAACGGTAAAAATATACTGTAAATGAGACTTTCACTTTTCAGATTTTAGTTATTTAGTCATAATTCCAAAAGTAATGTGGCTAGAAACTTGAAACTTTTACCCTGTAGCAAAGATATTTATTTTCGTATTTGATAAAATTGTCTAATGGCAATTTCGATTTAAATATAGAACTTTAAAAATAGGTACCTAATTTTTTGAAAGTCTGTATGAGTCATTCAATATAATGATTTAAGTTTAGGGATTTCAAAATCTGGTAACCCTACCTATTACTATTATCCAGTTCGAGGACCGAAAAGGCGAAGGACAAACTTCCACCACCATTATTTAAATAATAAATTTATACATTTATACAATAAAAATTTTATTTTTCTATACATAATAAGTAATGAGTATTTAAATGTAAATAAACATTTAGGGATACTAATTTAAAAAATGGGGGTCCTAAGCACACCCAAGCCCCCCAAATTGTGCCTATGCATACCAGCCCCATAGTTTGTAATTGCAGCGCTTTATATAAGGGTATTTTATATTAGAATTATAGACCATCAAGAATATTTAATGCAGTATTTATTAACACTTAAAATTAACATCAACATTAGACAAAGTTGATAATAACAAATAGAAGCTGAGCGTTCATACTAAATGGCCGGATACGTCTAAAATTGGTGCTGAACTGGAGCCCTTATATATGCTGCTGAATCGCTTCCTTGTTGGTTTTCCCGTCAACTAGTTGTTTTTTGCAAATTGCTACAAGAGTTTGCGAATTTCGCTTATATTATGTTTTTTGCCATTGATTTATAATTTCTATTTCTATTTGTATGTGGCTTTCTCTCTGTTATTATTATTTGATTGTTTCACAATTCGTTCATGGTCAGGATTTACTTTTATATAGTAAATGTTATAAATACAAAGTACCTAATTAACAAATACGTATAAAGAAATATAACGATACGTAGAACATTACATATTAATAAATTAGGAGCCGAGGACTTAGAAATATATAGTTACTATGTTAACCAATATTAAATTTCAGCTTGAAATACAGTGGTATCATTACAGTTTATTCTAGAGTAAGACAGTTGGCATGCTTTTATTAAATTGCCGACTCGGCGGTTTATTTTACCAAAGTGCTGATTAACGTGGAAAGAAAGGGTCGTCAATTTAGTCCAAAAATATAATGATTTATAACTTGTACATAAGTACCCGTATATTATACGTCTCATTTTCCTGATTTACAACATTTCAATGGTTTTATAAAAGACGTGTTAATATTTTAATGATGTACCGACTTTGGAATAGCTAAACTCAAGAGTGTGGCAAATTCATGAGTTGCCCCTTCTCCAAATAACGCCACTATATATAGATATGTGTAATAATATGATGTTATATAAATCTGTATTTTAAATTATAAATATGACTTTTTTCTTATTGATGTTGTTTTTGACAGATCTTGAAAGTATTGTAAACTACTATCTACATGAACATACAATTGAAGATTTGCATGTATTTCGCACCCACTAATTATGTATTTTATAATTATTAGTTAGTTGCTTAATTGCTTCATTTTTCATCAATAAACAACTTTAAAATCCAATGTTGGTCTATTAGTTGACTTATTATTAAATCCCTTATTATTTTTAGTACCAGAGCTTGTGCTAAGGAAAAATTAGAGCTGCACATTCTGTTTGTTTTATAGAAGTGAAAAAAATTTGACAGTCGCTTCGCTCGTATATAATAAATAATACATACTAATATCAATATAAATATAAATAATAGTATATTATACATCATAAAGTATATAGATTTTAATAATTGAAATAACAAATTCCTTTAATCTAATTTTAAAATGATTTCTTTTTCTTTTTTGTGACAACCTCTTCATCATGAGTATCACTATATTCAAATTGGTGATGTTTGTTTGTAGCACCCGGAAACACACCATTCAAATAATTTTGTTGCTTAGCCTTTGTTCTTGTAATTACTCTATGTTTTTTGCTGTTCATCCATTTGGCAATTGACATATTAAGATCCCAATCATACAAGGGAAGCATGTTATAATTAATGTATAAGTAGGTACATATTTTCAGTTGAAACATTCATGGCGTAACGTAATGGAGACTTATTACTAATACCGTAGTTTTACTCTCTTGATATTAATAGATTTATATGTATTATCAATGTTTTAATCATAATTTCTAATAATTCTGGAAAACAAAATAATGTCAAATGGTGCCTATCTTAAAAAATCATAGACATATAGATAATTCTATAATAGAATTAATTATTAAAAATTTAAATCAAATTATTTTTTTTATGAATTTCACAACATTTAAAAAAGAACTGCACATTAGCAAAAGCTCTGGTTAGTACTTTACTACTAATTAATTAGTTTCCAATTGTTTGTTCGACTTTATGTCTTACGGTTTATTAATTTATTTTCACTAAGCCTTTACCTTTGGAATATATTATTTTCATATATTGTTGTGTAATTCAGCAGTTTAATTAATAGCCTTAATAGGCAAAAATGTACTGCTTTAATTTAAAATATTGGAGGTTTTTTTATTTAGTAAATGTCCATGTATTGACCAATTATAGTTATTTATGATAAGGATTTAAATTGGTTGTTTTTCGATTGGCTTATTATTGTTATACATTCAGTGATAACAATATAATGTACTATTTTATTCTTATGGTAGGTATCTAAATGGTTGGTACTGAATAATTTTTAATAGTTCCTTGTGGCTTTTTATAAAATTAAAATTGTTGTGTTAATAATACCTACAATTTATTACTTTTATGCTTATTTTTTTATTGACTCTTTAATTGACTATTTAAAATAAGGCAAGTACATTTAATAAGAAATCCGTGTTTTATAATTCATAGTACTCAAAAAGTAAATAATAGTATTCAGTTTTTTCTAATTGTAAGTGCAATATGTCAGACCGAAAAGCGGAATTAGAAAAAAAGAAAGCAAAATTACAAGCCATCAGAGAACAAAAAGAACGTCTTCGTAAAGAAAAAGAAAAAAAAGATGTAAGTGAGATGCATATTTAGAAATATACAATAGAACATACATTGAAGATACATAAAGAATCATATTACTGTTTACTGTTTATCCTATTTAATATTTTATCAAATATATCTTTCAATTTTAATATTTTTTTTATACCTATTAAAACAGAAATATTCTATCTTTTATGTATAAAAAAATATTTTTATGTTTTAATTTTTTTATGTATAATGTAACTGATTTTATTGTAATATTTTTATAACTTCATATTTATATTTCATATTTATATTATAAAATATATACATTTTTTATAAGAATTTTATTTTAATACATATAATTATTGTTTAAAAATTTTTTATACCAGCTTAAAATATTTTCAAAATCAAATCAAGACTTACTTTAATATTTTTATGCATATAATACCAATTATCTATTATAATTATCTATTGAAGTTTTATTTACTTAATAAATAATTTAATATTGGTAAATTGATAATTAAAGATAAATATTTCTTTATGAACTGCTCTAAAAGAACTGAATATGGTGTAATATTATTAATTATTTAATAAAAGATGGAGATGAAGCAGTTTCTCGTGGTATTAGTGTTGAGAAAGATCAAGGTAAAGAAATTGATGAAATGTTATCATCTCTCGGAGTTGCACCAGTTTCCGGTATGTTTTATTTAAATTTTATTAAATTCTTTACAATGATTTATTTTAATTATTTTAGATGTATTGTCAAGTTTAACCATTTCACCAAACAAAAGTGAATTATACAGTTCTATGTCAACTCCTGATTCTAGTATCAAAGGATCATTACCTCAGACTCCTTCTACTTGGTAATACCTAATAAAAAAATATTAATCATACATTTATAATTTTATTAATTTTATGTTGCATTATTTTTATGGTTGGATAATTAAAACAATATTTTTTCAATTCTTATTTAAAAACTAAACACTTACAAAACTAAACGTCAGCAATTCAAGTTAAGCCTATTCAACAGTCCACTTTGTCAGTAACTATATAAGATAAAACTGTTTTCTCTATTATTTATAAATTAATAAAAAATAAATTAAATTTTAAAATGAACTATAAGAAAAGAGTTCATCTAAATTATAACTATTTTAACTTTTAATGATCAAACTCAATTTAAGATGAAGATAAAACAATTTGTAGATCCACAACAAACATTTTAATTGCTAAAATTCTGAAACAACAAATCACAAATAACTAACTTAAATTTTTCTGGTTATAATCCCCTATTGTTTAAAACAAGAATTCTTCTAAGTTAACCTTTATAAAGTCTTGAATTATAAATTAGTGTATAAAATATATTGTTTAAAATTTAAATTAAATAAAAATATTAAAAAAGTTGGAGCATCACTAATAGAGCACTGTATTTGTAGTATTAAGCACGTTGAAAATAAATAACCTCAGGTTATATAATAATTTTTGTTCTGAAATTAAAACAAATTGTGTACAATAAATAAAAATAAAAAACCTACAGTTACATGAGATCAAGTTAAATTTAAAATATTACAATATTAAAATTTCTTATTAGTGTTAGCATTTTAGATAAAAGATAAAAATAACTACCGGTTTTTTGGTAAATTCTATGAAATATATTTTAATATTACTAATATTTTTTCTTTACTATTTTGAGAAAAAAATTATTTAGTATTATTTTAAAACCATCTTATTGTATTTATATTTTCAAATATTTCAGTCCAAAACCAGCGAAGAAAGTTCGTGAGTTATCAATTGTTTCTTTATCTTCTACTAATATTCCACCTAAAGAAGTTGAATGCTATACTAAAGCTGTTCAAACTACACATTCATCTAATGAAAGAGACGGTACAGTTTACTTTATTAATTTTAATTTTAAATTAAAAATAGTATATATTTTGAAATTAATTATAAGCTAAAAACCAAGAAAAATGTGCTTGCTATTTTTTATTTAATTTTCTTAACATTATTCATTGATTTATTCTTAATATTACCATTGTCACTTGTTGTATTTATTATTGTTACGCTGCACTGGTTTCTAATATGTAAATTAAAGGATCCTGCACTTCTTCCCCTCTTAAAGGTTATTTTGAAGATTGGTGGAGGCCTAGAAAAGGTTAGATTCACAATTCTCCAATAGTAGCTTAGTCATATAAGCACAATTTTAAAACCACTTTATGGTTATTCCAGGTGGTATACCCTGATAAAAGTGTTATTAGTACATTTATTTAACCATTGATGTTTTTATGAAATAAGAAAATAACACTATATATGAGTACAATATTAATAAAACTAAAAGTAGTTATTTATTCATTTATTATTTTATATAATAAAAATGGTAAAAATCATCATAAGTTATTGAACATTTTAGTGTATATCACTTGGAGATTATAATTAGTTTTATATTTTAATAGTTTTCTTGTGTATTAATTTTTTTATTAATTTTTTTTCAATTTGATGGGGGCAATATTGGAAATCATGGATCATTCTCATCAACAGCTCAAGCCTTTGGATATTACGGTAAGGTATTATTTAATATGATCATAGGAAATAATTTCTATACATATGTATTTGTTAATTATGTTAATTCATAGAGCATATAAATGTATAATCTATAATAATAGGTATCATGCATGGTTTATGTGTTAAAATATTGTAGTTTAATTTTTGTAGATCATAAACGTAATAAAATTGACTATGTTAATAGTTTTGTTAGCAAAAATTATTTTATTTGATAATATTTCAATCAAATATTAGCATAGTTTAATAATGAGTAATACTAATATTTTAAGTATACAGTCAAGAATATACATGGGATTTTACATAATAATTAATAATATATTAATATATCAATAATATTAAATATTAAATAACATTTAATTATTATATTAATAGTAATGGGAAAATAAAACTTTTTTCGTATATATTTATAATTAATTAACGCAACCATCCAATTTAGGTGGTCCAAATAATTTGGTAATATTTTCATTTGGTTCAATTGGTTATTCATAAATTTTAATTTTACGTTAAATTGAATACCTAAATATTAACTTAAGTAATGATACTAAAGTCACTATACGTAATGCTAACAATAATCAATTTATCAATACATTTTTATTACTATTACATTTATGCACTAGTTTCTATTAGTTTTATACTTGCACTGTGTTTTGCTTCTTAAGCACTTAAAGTTGTATTTTGAAATATATTATTTTTGTATTTTGAATTATATATATATGTGTATAATTCACTACATTTTAGCTATAATAGTTCATTTATACTATAAAGTATAAAAAATTATAATAGAATTAATTTTTTTTTAAGTTGCTTGGAATGTGGTTTATTGGCTAATGTATTCTAATTATTTAATTTACTAAATTTAAAATTACAATTCTAATAATTAGTTATTGCTTAGATATGTTTTATAACAACTCGTTATAATGTTTTAAATTTTATTTTTTTATTATTTCATGATAGATTTTTATAAAAATTAATATGCACATAGTGAAAATTATTTAAAAATTCACATTGAACCTATGAAATTTACAATTTTAGAAACTATTCTGCCTTATTTGTAACAATATCTAGCATATATTTTAGGAGACTAAAGCAGTGGTTTTCAAACTGTGTGTCTTGACTCCTTTAGGCGTTGTTGATTATTATTATAGGAACTGCATGCACAATAGCCACTAAAAATAAAATTGCAATTCATTTTTTCTTATAAATATGTCAAAGATAAACCTATTCCATTACAAGTTTTTATCTTAGAAAATCAAATTTTTGTTATCTTTTTTGAATGAAGGTGCTTTAAATGACTGTTTCCCTACATAGTAAATATTCCTTCATGAAAATAATTTAAACTTGATCAAATCTGTCAAATTATTATTCATTGAACATTTATCACAGCTTATTAGTCATTTTTAAAATAATTTTACTGAGGATGATCAACAATAAAATTGGACTAAAAATCTTTTTACTACTGATATACCATCAGAACTAAAAATGTCTGAACAAGAACAACTGATAGATTAATCCTCAGATTCAGTAACAAATTATCAGGTTTGGTGAATTGTGTCCCATAGATAAAATGTTAATATATAGCTAAGTGAACTGCGGCCCGGGTATTTTTTTCATGTAACTAAATTGTGTTCCCAATATTTTTTTCAAGTAGGTGAATTGCGCCCTTTCTAATCGTTCTCTTTAAGTTTTAAAACAAAACAATTTCAAATCAAGCCAATTTATAAAGTATATTTTTGAGTTGTCCTTCTTACATCCAGTTTGGGTACAAGAATGCTTTCAAAATGATTTACTATCCATTTCATTTATTGAATATGAACGAATTAATAAATTTATAGAAAACATATTGAAAATTTACATTTCAACAGATGCAAGTTTCCCTCCAAATCTGGGCTGAATTTGCACCAACGACAAATCTGACAGTTTTTATTTTTAGTTATAATTTAAAAATTGAAATACCTTTAACTTATTTGGGATTTTGTATTAATTTCTTACTTTTTATTTTCTTTATTTTAATACATGCATGTAATTTATTTGGAAATATTAAGTTTTTAATTTATTATTATTTAATATGATTAATTTATTTTATTGCATGTGATCATAATAATAAATTATTTTTACATTTTTATTTAATTTTATATTTACTTCTAGATTTGTTTATTTGTTAAATTCTGAGTAGAGTGAACATTTCTTAATTGATTTTAATAATATAGACAAGAATTGTATAGTTAGTTGATGGATAGTTTTGAATTTTGCTTAATGCATAGTTAAAATTATTAAAATTTTAAATTATATTTATTATAATATTAGGTATATATAATATATTATTATTATAATTATTAATTTATATGCAATAGTCTAAGCCATATGGTTAATGTTAAAAGGTTAAGCAGGGAAAGACTTAACTAGTATTTATTACATTGAAATTATTAAAAAAAAACAAATGACTAAAAATTGTGCTATGACTTAAATTGTAAGTATAAATGTATTTATTTTAGAATCTATTTCCCTGCTTTTACCTTTTATAAATTAAAAATACATTTATACATACGTTAATTTTAAGTTACATTCATAAAAAGAAAATGCAAAATTTATGCCTCTTGCAATTAACTACTTCACGGTGGTGTTTATGTCGTTTTGCTTGTTTTTGTTCTTTTTTCAAGACGAATACAACTTAAATCCTGGCTTGGAATGGGAAGACGAATTTACAGGTAGGTACATCAGCAAATGCTTTTAAGCATTTTTTACATTTTTAATTTATCGGTAACATAAAACTAAAACTACAATTTATATTAAAAGATTTATTTTTTTTTCCATGTGAATTTATTTGAAAATATGTTATTGATGGAGGTTGCGTTAATTTTATGTTATGCTTTGTAAAATATTCAATGGATGAAAATTGCTCTGGATGTTTGTATGTGGTGTAATAAGATTCAGAAAACTTAATTTTTTGCTACATAAATAAACTAGTTGAAAAATGAATTATTACTTTTTATCAATTGATTTCATTTTTTTTTTTTTTATATATATAACATATTTATTTTGATTTTTATTATTAACAATACTTTTCAATTTTTGTTATTCTGTTATCATAAATTTATTTTCTGGATCTAATTCTATTTAAGTTATCAATAATCACAATGGTTATATATAAGCCTCTTTACTCATACACACACATACTTAACATTTTTTTTTAATCTCTGCTTATATAATTTTTTTAAAATAATAATATGATTTCATATTGATTATTGGTAGAATTACATTTTTTAACATAATTTAACAAATTTTTACGAACATATATAAATGTATGTCTTTACGACTATCACTATATAGGGGGACCACATAAATATAGGACTTCCGTAAACAATAGAGAAAGGAATTACTAGTACTATTTTATAGGACCCGAGGGTAACACAAACACATACGCAAATGTGAGTTACATGGCGGCACTTCAAAGAAATATTGAGATGGGAAATCCATTTAATAATTAAATTATAAGAGTGCACGATGGAATATGAGATATGTGCGAGAGGCAATATTAGCGAGATCAACCATTAAAGTAATAAATCTGGAAATGTACTCATTTAGCACCTCAGGGTGTTAATGATAGTTGGAAATAACTTTTATATTATAAAACCATAGTGCCGCATAACTGATTCCCACAAGACCTGAGTTTATAAGGGGTTTGCTAACAGACCAATAGGCAGATATGTTTTAGTCCGGTAAATTCACGCCGTTCAACTTCATATTTTAATTTGTTCTTAGAATTATTTTATGAAATTATACTATTGAACTTAGAATTTATTAAATAAAGTAAATATTTAAAAATCTTTAGTTCTTTAATTCATCACTATCAATAAATTAATTAATTGAGAAGTTGTACATTTGTCTTTATTCCTCTCCCGTTGCACTAGTCTGTACACTCAGACTGGCACACTACAATATAAAATATTTTGGATATGTATTAAATATGTATACTCTAAGCATCTATTGCTAGCCATTCCTAAGTAATTAACAGACAGTTCTTACGTATGATGATGGTTCTGGTCAAGCGGAAGATGAAGATATCAGCCTCACAAATTTGTCCACATTCCAAAGCAAGCTACCTCCAGGTATCCTATCTCAAGGACTCCCACAGGTTAAAGAAGTTGCACCTGCTATTACTTCCTTGGAAAGAGAACTAATTGTTAAAGAAGAAACAAAAAAGAGTAAAACAATTAATGTACATGTATGCACTCATCATATTTATGTATTTTTATTATTTAGTTAGAGAATTTAGTGATGCAGAAAAAATGATGATAATTCATTCTGAAGATTTTCAACAATTTATGGATCGTGCTGGACGTGTTATGGAACGAGCTTTATCTGAAAATGTAGATATCTATACAGATTATACTGGTGCTTTAGATGATAATGATGTAAAGTTAGTATCAATTAAATTTTAAAAAGGTAATACAAGATCTTGTGTTATAATATTTTAAACATTTTTAGTGAAGATAAAAGTAGTACTCGTTTATCATTGACACGCGTATTTTTTGATGAACATTGGTCAAAAAATCGCCTAGTTACATCCTTAGATTGGTCTCAACAATTTCCAGAACTTACTGTTGCATCTTATAATATTTCTGATGCACCCCATGAACCAGATGGTGTAGTTCTTATATGGAATACTAAATTCAAAAAGAATTCTCCTGAATATGTGTTTCATTGTCAGTCAAGAGTACTCTCAGCCACATTTGCTAGGTGAAACAGTGTTTAACTAAATTATAATTTATATTATTTTTATTTACAAAAAAATATATTTATACATGTATGTTAATTATAGATTTCATCCAAATTTAATTTTGGGAAGTACTTATTCTGGCCAAATAGTTTTATGGGATAATCGAGCACAAAAGAAAACTCCTATTCAAAGAACCCCTTTGTCAAATACTGCACATACTGTAAGTTAATATAAATAATAGAATATATTTTTACACTTTAACAAAAATAATTTTAAAGTTATATTATATTCATACCATATAATATATATTTATATATTTTAGCACCCAGTATACTGCATTCAAGTTGTGGGCACACAAAATGCACATAACCTCATAAGTGTTTCAACTGATGGACGATTATGTTGTTGGAGTTTAGATATGTTAACTCAACCAGTTGAACGTCTTGATTTAACTGCTAAACAATCTAAATCTGTTTCAGTTTCTACATTTGCTTTTTTGCATGATGATGTTAATAAATTTGTTTTTGGTAGCCAAGAAGGATCTGCATATTCTGGTTAGTTGAAAATACATATTCTATATGAGTTACGTTTTATAATTTAATGTATATTTAGCATGTCGGCATACAAAAAAAGCTGGAGTTGTTGAAAGTTATGAAAGTCATATTGCTCCAATTACAGCCATTGATACCCATTGTGTTGAAGGGAACACTGATTTCAGTCATCTTTTTTTAACTAGCTCAATTGATTGGACTATTAAACTATGGAATATAAAGGTTTGATATTATTTTCTTTAAATTAAATTTATATGTAATTATTAAATTTGAAATATTATTAAAGGAATCAAAACCAATTCACTCATTTGAAAACAACAATGATTATGTAAGCAGTGTTGCTTGGTCTCCTGTACATCCATCTGTATTTGCTGCAGTTGATGTTACTGGCCGTTTAGACTTATGGAACCTTAATAATAATACAGAATCACCTACTGCCAGTACAGTACTTGATAATTCACCATTGTTAAAAAGTCTTATGTGGTCACAGAATGGAACTCATTTGAGTGTTGGTGATGAATATGGAAAAATATCTGTGTTTGAAGTTGGAGAGGTAAATAATTAGTTTATTTTATATAAATTTTCCCTTAATAAAAGTTATTTATTATTTACTTAATGTTAGCAAAATATATATTTATATTTTTTACCTACTATTGTCTATTTTCCACTATAATGTATTGTAAAAAGCTAATGCAGATAAAGCAAATGAACAATGGGTGACAAGGCATGGGAATTTTATGACTAATTTAATCCAACAAACATTCAAATCTTTGCCCAATATTTTGAATAAATCATGACAATTTTTGGCAGTAATTTTTTTTCTTTTTTGTATTCTCAATATAAGTTTTATATGTTTTAAAAATTAAAATAACACCACTTTTTTAGTTTAATCTTCTCAAATTTTAAATAAATTTAGATTTTATTTTAATAAAAATTATTAAATTTCCTAATAAATGAGATTAAATTATCAAATATTTATTAAAATGTTATTCTTCTAATACAATTTTATTCCTTCAAACCAAACCACTGACTTATTATTGTGATTTATTATGAAAACATAATATATTCATTATTCAATTTTATTTATATATCCTTGAATACAATTTCTATATTAAAATTTTAATTTTATGTTTTAAATTTAGCAAATGACACAACCAAGACATGATGATTGGTCAAAGCTTTCTAACACATTACAAGAATTAAAAAGTAATCAAACAGATGAGATGGATAAATCTATTAACTACAGTTCAGGATCAGTTTCCTCTGTGTTCTCTAGATCTTCTAGTATTTTGATGAAATAAATAAGCTTTTATATAGTATATGAGATATATTTTGTAAATCTTATATATATTTAGAAATTGCCTTTATCTTTTTATAATAAAATAAATACTTATTTTATTTAATTGCGTTATTTAAAAATTGTAAAATATTTATAAATTAACTTATATTTATATATTTATCTTGTTTTCAATATAATTCATTTTTGTGATAAACTGAAATAAAATATTTTTAATCATATTGTTGCTAACCAGGTGTTGAACTTGTAGAATGAATGTACAATATTGATGATAAAGACATCACAAATTTTATTTAATTCAAAAAATATAATAATACAAAAAAGTGTATAGTGTTTGGGTGGATGATTCTAATATATGCTTCTACATGCGACAGAGAGCTTAGAGCAATAAACATATAAGTTATAATGTTCAGGTAGTTCAAATTTAGTTAGAGTCCAAAGAATCCCCTGTGAGTATTCCTTGAAATCTTAAAAACTATCTAATATTAAATGTTTTATTTTTTTCAAATTGTATCTGCTAGGATGTACATATAAAATATCTTATCCTAAGTGATTCATCATCACCTATCCAGAATCACTGAAGCCTATAAGTATAAAATTTAGACAGTAGTTTTGTTTTATGAATTAGATACCCACTAAAAAATGATATTTCAAAATTCAACCCCTATAGTTATTAATAGGGTTAATAATAATAATAATAATAATGATAAACTGATTGACGATAATATTGCTGGCATGTTCCCAAGTAAATATAAATTAATTTATCAGCGAAAATGTTTGAATGTTTGACCTTTCGATGAAAAGATATGATTATTTTCAACCCATATTATACAATATGCCTACTTACATACTAATTGACACAGTGACGGTCGTAATGGTAATGACACTATTTGGGTTTATTATTATGATTCATAATAATAAATATAATGATGACATAATAACATAATAAATTTATAGTCATAATTTATGACTATAAATTGATTATGTGTGTAAACATATTCCATACCCATCTCATAAACCCATCATATTATTTTTCAATTTATTTTGCTGTGAACATCGGAACACATTGGTCAACCTCGTCTTTTGTAGTTTTGTATATCTACTAAAGACAGTGGCTGTTTCTCTGCAGCGTAGTTCGAACAATCACAAGTACAACTTTATTTCTTGGAGGTCTATTAAATTATTTGTAAATATATATTATAATATTATTGTAATCAACCTATATTGTATTGTACTTATGAGGTACCCAGGAACGACGCGAGTGGGTAGGCAATAAGGGCAGTTGCCCAGGACCCCGCGCCTTAAATTATAATTAAGGCCCCGTGGTTCTGATTTAACTGAACTTAAAATATTTTATTAATATAAATTATAAGATCCAACATTTATTTTGTCCAGGGCTTCGCAAACTCTAGCACCGTCACTGTAGGTACCTATAAGTACTTGTACTTATTAAAATAAAATATATATTATAAAAATAATAATGTATATAATATATTTTACTGCATATTTTTACGTTGGCAGTGGCGTACAAAGGAGAGAGAGGTTCGGAATAATTCCCCCAGAACAAAAAAAGGATATTGTACAGTTTTAAAATTTTTAGAATAATAGAATAAAAAATATACACGTCACGAAAATAACATATACCGCGAATATAAAATCTAGTTTTCATCAATTCATGGGTGTATTTTAGAGGGGCGAAGGGACGATCACCCTCTCTGAATCCGTATTTAAGGAATTGATTATACATGAGATACACATTTAAAATTTTTTAATGTGGATCATTTTATAACGAAATCAAATTACGCGTGGCTATGAATATTGCTGAATTGGGATTTTTGTCGAGTCCATACTTAGTGAAAAATCAAATAAAACACAAGCGTAACTTTCTAAATACAAGTGTTAAAAAAGAACTTCACAAAAGTCGATTTTAAGTGGATCCGGCATTAGATTAAAAAAAAAGGCCACAAAATTTAAGGATTCACCTGATTTAAATATTACCAAACATTTTACTTGTAAATTTTGAGCCTGAATTAAAGAAAAAATTTGATTCGTTCCCCTGCCCTAGAAGTAAGTTTATATACGCCCCTACATCCAGTGTTTATTTCAGACCTATCCCGGGGGGTTATCATACATTTCCAAGTGGGTATGCCTTAGAAGTAAATAATTAAGGGAAGTAAAAGCATTGTTTTAAGCTCAATTTATATGTATTAGATAGATACCTACGAATACGTAGATTCTTAAAAATCTAACTTTGGTTAATTATATGTATACAATATTTGAATGAAAGTGTAGAGTAATAATTATTCAACCATAATACCTTTGAGCCATTTCTCACTCTTGGGACGGCTATACCCGATTATCGATTTTTGGGTTGTTACAGTACTTAAAAAATGGGGCGGTAAACACTGAGCGTGCCTCAGGGTACCGAGTAGGTTAATCTGCCACTGATTATACTACATGTATAATTTCTTATCTATAAAGTATATTGAAATTCATAAATTAACTATACTGAGTATTGGGCTCACTACAATCTGCGGTATTGCCATATCGTTGATTTTACCATATAAGCCAGCGTCGTTATAATTTAAATACGTATATTCAGACGTTATATATATTGAGATGGCATTAAAAAGTAAAAGTTACTATAATAAAACATACGATTTTCTTTTTTTTTTTTTCATTAGTAAATCATTTTTAAAATTAATTTGGCTAAAATATTTTGCTACTCTTGAGACTTTTCGCCCCCGGGCATATGCCTACCCGTGCCCACCCCCTAAATACGGGCGTGCGTACTTACGTTTTATTTTTACTATGTTTAAATGAAAAAAACGTAAAAAGATTGTTTTATTCAAATTGGTTAATTAATGAAATTATGTTTTATACATAAATAAGATTAACCACCACAAGGTGTTCAATTTATTTCGAAAACTTGGCTAATGAAAAACAATGTCGATCATCACATTAATTAACAAATTCTAAATTCTAATTAATTTTAATTGTAAGTAACTTAATTTTTAATGTAATAATGTGTGCATAATATAAAATTATAAAATAAAATATAAATAGGTAAAATATTATTTTTTTTTTCTGACGGCCCCCGGATGTGTTTAAGAACATATAAATTGGCCCGCGAACCATAAAAGGTTGGTCCACCCTGTTTTAGATGATCAACATTTTTAGTCAATGCCCATAATATTCCATTAATAAAATTCTCCAACTTAAATAATCCATTACGATATTTTTGTTTATTATTATACTATCCAACTAAATAATGTTTTAATATTATGTATAGGTATTTTTTATTAATGTGTTATAATGACAATTGATGGCCAGGAAGGAAATTACCCTCTCACCTCCATGACAGTTATAAATTAATTCCTTACCGAAGACCGACTAGAGCCATCACTTAAAGTCCAGGTAGATATAATATCATCCTGATTAAAATGCAAAGCACAAATTCCTGAATTTATATTTAAATTTACACAAATTGCTTTTTCTCGTGTATTTAGGGTATTTTGTAGGATACCAAAATTACTGGTTGAGCTTTTTTAATCAGGAACACAGTATTTATTAGTTACCATAATGTGGTAAATAAAATATTATTTTCTAAATTAATTTTCTTAATGAAAAATATATAATATAATTTATAATACACGATTTAAATTAATAAATATCTATGTATATTTAATACATAAAAGTATGATTTAAATTACTTGAGTTAGGACAGAGAAGCTTGGAGAGCTGCGGCCATCCCTGTAATAGGTGATAAGTATGTTTTACAAAAACTTTCCATAGACTTTTCCATAGAATTTTGTAGATTTGAATGCCGTATTCCTAGTTAGTTCACAATATTTAGGTATTTTGTTTCGATAGACATTCGATGTTATTAAATAATTTACAACATAATTATATCATTAAATATTTGTATTCGTTTGTAATAAAAAGGTGTAGAAAAAATATAATATAAAAATAAATGCGCATAGAGAAAATTCTTGAATCATCCATGTTTCGAACCCTTGAGGTTTTTGAATTTTCTACGCCTAATAAAAGCATCGTGCTCGTCATCGGTCGTTTCAGTGTTATCACAACAGTTGTGTTTGAACGTAATCGTCTGTCACGTCCATTTGAATTTTGATTGAGTCTCAATCATTGATGTTATTCTGCATTCATCAGCGAATTTTGCTTAACGTTTTTCGTGTCCTCGTTATTTTCCGTTGACAACAATCAAGGTAAGCATCCATTTTAAAACGCCATATGAAATTTAAATTCACTTCTTTTTTCACTGTTTTATATAATTGCATTTTAAAATTAATGTGTAATGCATATGGATCGTATTATTTTATTATCCATTTATTTTCTCACTTTCGCTCATTTGACATTTCTTTTTGTTATTGATTAAGTATATTTCATAATATTTATTATATTTTTCGCCTCTTATAATTTATTTATGACCAATTTAAGTATATACAAAAGGTGCAATATATATTTAATTATGTGAAGGAGAAGAAGAAGGCCTATTAGGTATTAAAGTATCTTAATATTTATAGAAAATCATATTCACATATTTCTTATGATTTGATGTACTGATAACAACCAATAATTGTCAAATATTGTTAATTAAATTAAATTGTTTTATTTACTGATAACACTCATATATTCAAACATAGTGTAAGATAAATCAAATTTGCTTTAACAATTTTTTTGATGTTTTTCATAAAATCAATAATATTAAGTTTGAATTTTGATGAAAATGTCTGTTATATTTCAACAAAAACATTTGAGATAATCAAGGTTAAAAAATAATTAGCAATTAAAGTTTTTATATCAATTAAATGGTCAAGTTTTACTTGGAAATGTAAATACCTATAATATTTAAATTTTTAATTACTGAACTAAATAATTTGATTGTATAATTTTAAAATAATAAAATAGAATATGAAGTTTGAATATCCTTATATTATATATAATATAATAAGTATCCATTTCCATCTAGTATATCTAGGTAATATTCAGAAAGAAGAAAAATTGTTGATGAGATTTTTAATTTCATAGCTTATATTAGATAATTGGATGTGTATATAAATATATGTACTTTTAGTAATCTATACAGTATTTCGGAAGGCGCTAAAACTCAAAACTTCAACCATAATTCAGTTGCAAATGGTTGTTTCTTAAATTAAGTAATTTATTTATACTTTTAACAATAATTTAACCTTCAGTGAATTTAAAATTTATTTAGGTTCTGGGAATAGATTTTAATATTATATTATAATTATTAATATTAATTTTATAACATTATAAATTATTATATATACTTGTATATATAAATATACTTATATATAATCGTATTTTAGAGGGCAGTGATAATCACTTCTTCAAAGTGTCCTCTAGGTAATGTTAAATAGTTGTCATAAAATTAATATATCTGCTGGATGCAATTTATTACATAAAATGTATACCTGAAATGTATTGGCTGCATTTTACAATGTGTACATTTATACCTCGAATTAATTTACAATTTTGTCTACGTCAAGCAAAATTTACGTTTGTCCACTTAGAAAAATTTTCGTTGTCAGAGTCAGTCTGACAACAGTAGAGAGGCAGGGATTCCTGCCAAGGCCTTAGTTATCTTATACTTTCCGGGACCCCCATTCATTAATAATAAAATTAACAATATTAATGCATATCAATATATCACCATGGATATCGATGATCTTGTATACAAATGAGTAACATTAGAGCAGCGTTTAATTGCAAAGAAAATTTAGAATTTTTTTTGCGTGTAAAAATAATGAATTAAGGCGTTTATTATAATACTTTTTAAATATTGTAGCTAATTTTATAAAAATTTTAAAATAAAAAATAACTGATGAAATATAATAACTACCTATTTCATATGTTTGTTGACTTGGTTCCATTCTGACATTAATTAAAAATAATAAGTTTGGTATTTTTAAGTTATAACTTCAAATTTAATTGAAACTAAAAATTAAAATACAAGGTAACAATTAAATCACAAATTAATAATATGTAATATAATTTATAAATATGTATATATAATGCCCAGAATTATATGTACGAAATATGCATGTATTTATGCGATGGTTATCATTCAAATATGCAAACAAAAATGCATGTTTATTATTTATAAAATGTATTTAATTTTAAAATGTATACAATTCATTAAATAATTAATATTAAAAAAAAATATATACTTTAAAATATATCAACTGTATTTTATATATTTTATTGAACTGTATGGAATTGTCTGTTGTATTGAAATAAAATTGTATTTTGGACACTTGCTCATCTAAAAAAAAAGTCACAAACGAAAATCAATTTAAACAAATCAAGTAGATTTTTATAATATTTTTAGTCACCTGGAGAGTTACTATCGTATTGATACTTTTAATAAACTTTTTCTTATCTTATAACACAAAAATCAAATTATATAACTGCAGGATTCATGGAATATTTTTTTCTATATATGCATTATATTTCAGAAAAATGCAAAAATATGCCAAATTTAATTTTATATACCAAAACATTAGATTAAGATTCAAATTTCTGTCTTACCTTGCTATTTTTTAGTAAAATAAGAGTATATAAAAATATGCAAGTGCATACAATTCCGGGCCCTAGTCATTACAATGGATTTGTTAAATTTGAATACAATGATAGGTATCATTGTCTACGAATAACAATTCCGAACGGAGATGATTTGTTAGATACATATATAGAAAAAATATTATTATTACATATATATGTATAAAAAATTGTAAAATAATTGAATGTTTCAAATGCTTATAAGTTGCTTAAAAGTCAATATAATATTTTGAAAAAAAGTTACTTGAAAAAAATGCCAATCTTAACAACTGGTAAAAATTTCAAGTTAATGCGACTTATACTTTTTAAATTATAACAAATATTTAAAATCGACTGAGGATAAATTATTATTTTATGCAATTTTGTAAGAATTTAAAATTCAAACGGTCATAACATTTTTTTCTTAAAGTCCGGTACAAATATTTTTATAGTATTTCAAAAAAAAACTTAGAAAAATTGAAAATGTATATTGTCTCTAAATAAATCAAAAAATTTCAAAATACTTCGAAAACGTTACAGTGTATAGAAAACGCTAATTTAAATATTTGGTGAAAATTTCAAGTGTATGCGGTTTTTTGTTTTTGAGTTAGAGCATTTTTAAAAAAAATGTAGTTTGCCAAAACATAGTTTTGCGTAAAAATTCCCGTTTTTTCGTAATTTTTTATGATTTTATTGGATGCTTTTAAAAAGTATTGAAAAAGTTTGATTTTTGACTTGCCAAAGTACCATCTACATTCACTTTCCTTTCAGAAAAGTTACTGTTTAAGAAAATCGAAGCATTTTTACTGCCCCAAAACGTGATAACAGACACAAAAAAAGAAAATTAAAAAAAAAAAACACACACATCATTGTAAAACCAATAGATTCCATTAATCCGTTTAGAATCTAATAATTTCATTTTACAATTAATTTAACAAATATTTGGAATTTCTATTGGTCTTAATTATATAACATTTATTATAATTATATTTAAGTTTATATATACCAGAATTTTCAAAAAAGGGGTATTTTTGTAAAGTTTTTAGTTCTATTATTTATGTTTGATTAAATTATTATTAGTTTTAAAAGCGATTTTTATTTTATTAATATTATTGTTTAGAACTTTAACGAATATTTAAAAAAAAATTTAATTACATTTTTTATTATTTTATAATTTACTTGAATAACACACAACATTGACTTATGAAATACTAAAATCTGTTGGAGATTAAATAGTTTTTTTCATCTTCACTTAAATTTTAATCTAAAAATGATTTTTAGTTAGATTATTTTTACAGACTATTAATATTATAATTTATTTGTTATTTGTAGCATGGATTAAATATATTGTTTTTTACAAACATAAAAATATAATTTCCAAATATTATTCAATTACAATGAATATATATTGTAACTATAATAAGTAAGTACACTAAAAATATTCAAACTAACCAAAATTCTAGTTCTCATTCTGAAACTCTAAAATTTCGGTGCTGAATTATGGCAGATAAAACGTGAATTCGCTTTCATTCGTATATGCGCAAAAAGTTACCTATGTTCTCAATTCAATATCAATTGAATTATTAATTATTTCATTTTTTAAAAATTTCACGTTCACTATTATTAATTTTATTTTAATTTGTTTTATCTTATCATACTTTGACTTTGATTTACGCAACATATTATTCAAAGCAAACTCTAATTTTCGAAGTAGTCGATACAAAACTAATATATTCGTACCTAGCAAGCAAACTATAGATTTATTTAATAATTCTACTTGACCGTGACCGTTAGCTGCAGGCTGATGAAAATTAACAACAGTAATAATAAATATTGACATTTTTTAATCTTCAGACATTTATTAAATACATAATTTTTAGAAATTATTATTTTTGAACAAAAACTAGAGTGTTCGATGTTCTTAAGATGAACACTTTACAAATTAGTACATACATAAAATATTTATTATAATAAATTGTTTAAGGTTATTCAATGATAAAATAAAATGTTAATTTTAAGAAATTGTCAATTTTGTTGTTTTTATTGTCAACTATATCAAAAAGGTAGGATATAATTTGTACATGAAAAAACTATTTAATTCTGAACTCTGATTTCGTATCAAAAGATGAAGAAGATCAATGAACAGGTTAATTAAATGTACGTACGTATGTTGACGTATCAATGTTATTATTAATTTTTATTCCTATGTATCAACAATTTAACATATAATATTAAACTAAAGGCAACAGCTATTACTTTAACGTTATTTTTCATTTTTGTTTTATTACTTAAGACCCGGTATGTGGCGCCTAAAACCGGTCTCGAAACTTGAACTTGGCGCCACTGAATAATGTGTTGTTTTATTCAATTTTATTCTGCATTCTGCGCATTTTATACTCAACATACAAATTCTTTAGACCTCAGTTTATTACATAATAGATTTCTAAATAACCATAATTTTACCACCAAATTAGTTAACCTTCAATATTGTTAAAAATTATGTACAAATTCATATTTATGTGCACAATCTTAAACTTTAATGCTTTAACTAAGAAAAATATAGATTTATATTAATAGAGAATAAATGAAATAAAGTAAATAATTAATTATAAATATTATAATATTTTGAACGTTTCCAATGTTGATATTCATATATTATTCATATTAGCCTACTTTCATAATACAATTAATACAAACAAATTTTATATTATAATTATAAATATTATTTAAATATTTTGTTATTCACAAGTGATCACTTACAGAAATAAAAATTGTCTTCAAATATTCTTAATATATTTTCTTTTTTCCCCTCCGTTTAACCGATAACAGAATATATGTAAACCGTTGATTCCTAAAACCGTACATTTTTAATAAAATACAAAACCGTACATTTTTGGTAGGTTAAAACCGCACTCATTTTGTAGATTAAAACAGCAAAATTTTTAAAATTTTTATAGGTCTATAGACAAAAATCGCACACTTAATTGGTCATTATATAACAAAATACTACAAACTTATAGTGGTTAAAACCGCACACTATCTTTAGTGCTAACTAACTTATAAGATAAGATTATAATCTTATAATTATAAGATATACTGTAATAATCATACTAACAAGTTTTAATATTTCGATTTTTAATTAAATTGTATTTATTTTAGGAGCACTTATTTAAATGGTGAGAAGAATTTTTAATCGACGGAGGTCGCATGAAGTTTTTAAAAAATGTTGGTAATATATTTCAAATAATCAAACTTTAAAAATTTTAAACACTTCACATTTTTAATTTTTAATAGATTTAAATATAATAATATATATAATAATAATTTAAGTAAATACACATGATAAAATAATTGTAGTCCTCCAGTCTCGTCTCGTTTGTTGTTCTTATTCCCGGTGTCGCACTTATGGCTTGTTTTCATGTTCTACTGTTTGTCTGGGGAAGGCTCAAATGGTCGGGGTGGCTACCCCTAGATTGGCTTTTGCTTCAACTTCAGTTATCCTCTCATCATGTTCTTTACCACTTGAAGAATATTTAACCTTAAACATAATTTTATAAATTAAAATAATATTTATTAATAATATTTAGTATCTAATCAACCATACAATTTCAAATTTTATTTCATTATAAGATTTTAATTTTATTATTTATTTATTTTTGCGTGAAAATTTACAAACATCTGTTGGTTTGGAGTACTTATTTCAGATCAGATATATATTTTTTTGTTTTGTTACTTTTAAGTTTTAAGATATATAATAAAATGTTATTATTGGCAAACATTCTTTTTAAAAAAATATTTAATTTAAATTGAAGTTGAAAATTGTATTTTTTTTTTTTTTTTTGTGGTGGACAAAAATAGTATGGTATGTAAATATACTTAGGTAAATGTGAATTTGTAAGATAAACCAAATTTCAGTTGAAAATTATGTACCTATTGAATATTTAAGTATAGGATTATTTAGTATATTTTTACAGAGTTAAGTTGATAAAGCGCAAGGGTAGCGAATCTATGGCACGCGTGCCAAAGGTGGCACGTTGACCAAATTTTAATAGCACGTGCAAAAAATTGAAATTATTAATAATTGTACATAAAAAAAAAAATAATAAATAGATTTCGAATGATCAATTACATAATTATACGCAAAAAGTATAGCGATGGATACTTTAGTTCTTCCTGTATGTATATAATATACCTAGGTATAGATTATGTACACGAGTCAATATATTACACGCAGAGAAATTCAAAAATCATAATGTAATTTTAATGAAATACATTTTTGTGATGTGTATATAAACACTTTGGCTTTCATTTTTTTTTCTGAGAGAAAGCTGCTGTTAAACACAATTGGAGTCGTTTCGCATACAGGAGCTACATGCGTATTGATATACACATACAGTGCGTAATGATCATGAAAAAAAAAAGTAAAAACGATGCGTATTAGATATGCGTGTAGATACCATATTTCAGTACATATGAAATCAGAATGGTCACCGATAATATTTTACACAGATAACATAGTAGAGTTTAAAAATATTTCGGCCATTGTTATGGAGTCTCAACAGTATATATTTATTTCATATATTCTATGGTTTAATAAACAGTATACGTAAAAATAATGAAGTACGTTCATTGTTTTTAATACATTTAGCACAGAATAAATGATATCACTTTTAAAGTTATAAGAAAATAGGACTCCATAAATATGGCGACTGAATGTAAACTTGTTTACATCTACAAGTGACCGTTCTGATTTCTTATATTCTGTGATAATATCATTGCAAGCATACTTGGTCGTATGCGTACACGTCGGACGACCCGACTTAATATTGCAGTTGTTTACCGCAAAACGAATGCATATATATACAATTATACAAATTATACGTTTATACACCGATACATTAATCTATAAAATATCTACGCAGTTATCTTTGTATATATTTAATATTTATACGTGTGCGTTTTGGCGACAAGTGGCGTGTTTGTCTGCGTGTGCGTGTACGTGTGTTGCGTATATGACGCGGGTGCGCATACGTAAATTGCGGGTGTTGTTTATAAAAATATACACACATACACAAATATACATGAATATATTATAATATGTGTATGTGTGTGTGTGTGTGTGTGTGTGAATGTACGTAGGTGGTGTGAAAAATGAGCTGATATATGTGTGTATGCGAGAGAGAGAAAAAAGCAAAACGATCGCAATAACAACCGGCGTAATACCTTATGCGACGACCGAAGACGGGATCGTTCGCGCTCGTCAACAGACCCGAGAGTCACCCAAGGACAATGAACGGCCTTTAAGAACCGGTATTCACCGAAAAAAAAATAAGAAAAATTAAAAAAAAAATACAAAATAAATTCCAGACGATGTATTCCGCTGGACGAACTAAACAACACTTCGCTATCGTACAAACACGCGCATACGCTCATAGCGCAGGCGACCGGCGACAGCATCCAGTGAACAGCGGACATTAATAACGCGTGTCGACTAAGACGCGCTTTGGGAAGGACACGTGGTCATCCTTGCGTCTGCCTCTGCGCGCTGGATCAACGTCACTGCGACGTCCATTGTCGCCTCCATTCCTCTACGACACTATTAATACGCGCACTTATCATAATGCACTCGAACACGTACACACACAATGTTATTATCCACACGCATCCTTGTCCGATCTGCGTATAATATGACGTTTACAACATTATTGCGGATGGTAGTAAAGATGCAGGGCTCCATTTGGTACACAATATGTAATACGCGGTAGACACCATAATATTTTAGATATGTATGTAATGGGTACACGGATATTATATTCGAAATGGGAAGGATAATAATACCTTTAATAAGTAATCTTACAGTAAAAATCTCAACTGAATAAAGTATCAGAAATATAACAATAAAATTAATTTCCCGGCTTTGAACGGAACATTCTTGACCAGCACATAGGTTTTAATGTATTATTACCTTATACTATTTAGAGTCAAATTTGGTGTAGCTATTGATTATAAAACAAATAAAACGGAAGTTCAAATAAATCGGTATAGTAGTTTTGGTTGTACGTCAAATTACCCCTGAATTACCGTCTTTGTCGGCTTCAATATTTTTTTAAATCCCTAGCTATACCTTATGGCGTACATTCAATCTTGTTCTTGGGGGGGGGGGGGGGTTAACAAAAATAATCGTTATCTTTTTTTTTTCGTTACACAGATAAATAAGATAAATAACTGCTATAAAGAGATATTATTTTATACAACTTTTTTACCAATTTACAGTTTACTTTTACATTACAGTAAATTAATAGCTATTGGAATATAAAAACAGCATAATTAACAAAACTTTTCTAACACCTATCAATATAACTATTTAATTATCATAATATTTGTATAGTTGTATATTTTAAATTCAAATCGTAATAATGAAACTACGAATATATACACGTCACCAATAATAAAACAATTTTCTTTTTTTTTTGGCCCTGGGGGGGGGGGTTTGAACCCAGAAATCCCCCCGTATGTACGCCACTGACTATACCTTTTTTATGTATAAATCTATCCCGAAGGTGGCTGAGGCGAGCCTCACTTTCCGTTGACTTTTTTTCATCTCTTGCTAAACGTATTCTTTTGACATTCACTGTACCTATGTTCGAACGACGACGTCTTCTAGACATAACTTTATAATTTCTGTACAAAGTAAGTATTATTTACTCAGTTTAATAAATAATAATAGTAATTTAATCTTATTGTTATGGTAACACACCACACACATAGTACAATAATACAGTCTTTAGTCTTCTTCTTTTTTTTTTTCTCTCAAAAAACCTCCCTCTTGAATCACTCTTTTAATTAAAAAAAACTAGCATCAAAATCCGATGCGTAATTTTAAAGATCTAAGCATACATAGGGACAGGCGCGGGACGACTTTGTCATACCTACTATGGTATTTATAAATAAAATTCTGTTAATACCCGTAAAAAAACAAGTATTTATCATAATCTGCGTTTTTATATTTAACTTGAATAATAGTGATTTAATGTTTATGTAAAACTTTATCATTTTTATAATACATTTCAATATTTTTAAAATTAGAAATTTAAACATTAAGAATTATGATTATTTTGATAAGGTGAAGGTTTATGGAAGTCTTGAACTTGTACATGTATCATCATGTTGTTATAAAATAAATTTGAATAATGACAATGGAAATTGCTCATATATACTGTTCATAACTTTTTTTTATAATGAAATTAATAATATGAAATAAATCATGACCAAACAGATTGTTCAAACAAATAACGCTGACGAATGAATTTATAATAATGAGTGCTTCTACAGTATGTCTAACTCGACAACATTTAATTAAGGAAGTATTTGAATTCAAAATAATATTATAAAATTTCAACTATTCACGTAAAATGATACTCGGGATACTTATAAAATCAACTATCTGTATAATTACCTATATATTCCAAATGTTTAAGTTATTTGGTCAAACTCAAAACAATAATATATCAACAGAATGAAATGGTGGTCTTCGAGATTTGCATAGTTACAGTAATTCCTAACTAGTAGGTGGCGCCAGGTATGTACATACTCACGGTCGCATTCGTATAGCGTTACATCACGCATCATAGGTCATACATAACATGCACATGGGCTGACCCGCTGTGGATGATTATATTATTATCTCAATTGTGGTAAATCGTCAATAGACTCCTGGGTAATCATGATATAATTAATTTACTGATGTGTTCTGTATCCTGCCTATACCATGGTTCACTCATACATCCTCAGCTGAAGGTAACCGTAATCATTTATACTAAAAACACCCGATCGAATGAGCATCTGAAACATTTTAATTGTCGTCCTTGATTTAACCAAGACTATATTTTACTGAAATAAATTGATCCATTGAGCCACATTGGAAAAATGTAATAACTGGAACCTATATTTATTTTTTCATCTAGAGTAAATAAAACGATGTTCGTTTGATAAAGCTATTAGGAAATAACTATAAAAATAGCTATTAAAAATAACTATAAATAACTACACATTACTGATCTGTATTCGATATCATATGTTCGAGTAGTACGGCCGAAATATTGATCATTAAAAATACAATTACCAACTGGCAGAAGTTATTCGAAAATAAAAACTGTCCGCGACAGACGATGGGCTATATATAACAGTAAATATCCAACACGCTGGACGAGAAATAATTGAAATTTTGCGTTGGGCTATGTTGGAATCGTGTTAAAAATATTTGTAACCCGTAATCCTTCACTCGGATGAAACGATCATAACGCCAACTTCTGAAAAATAAACCAGTGCTCTGCAGTGACGCAGCTGTTATACATATATACATATATATTTTACTTAGCCTAAAACGTTACAACGACAACTGACTATTCCAGTTGCATGTTTACTACTGAACGGATTTCGGTCGGGAAATCCCGTCGGTCGTCTGCATACTCGCACTCACACGGCATTTACAGACACACACAAACACAACAGGCGTGCGTGTGATGTAAAAAACCCAACGTTTGCTCGTGTGTGTAATAATATATACGGACGACTCGTCGCGGCAGTTGTCCCGACCTCCGCGCGTGAAGCCGCCAGTCTCGGCGGATCCGCATTCCTTCTCCATCTCACCACAACAATATATATAAAAAGAACAATGGCACTGCCTTTTTTTCCGACAACTACGTATACAATTATCACAGTTCTTGGCGATAGACTGCGACAAATCGCGTCTTATTGGACTGAAGAAGGAAAATATACACCACAATGTTTAATCAACGTTTTGCTCAAGCCCTCGTTGTAGTGTCCTCTCGTGTATCTATCTCGTGGTACATCCATCTTGAGGTATCTATTATAAATATTAGCCATTGGATACCAAGTCCTAATTCACTCGTTGAAAGATGGTGTGTATTTAGGAAATGGTATTTCTGTATTATGTTTTTGGATGTTTAAAGCGCTTCCATTCATTACTTTAATTGGAAGGAATACTGTGAAATATTTTTTAACATAAACATACAACACTTTTAAATTTGTACTTTGTTAAACGCATTTTTTTATGTTTAGGTAATATCATAAAAATACTTTTATTATTTATTAAATCAATGTTTTTATTGTAATTGTATTTTAATCTCATGAAATAGAATGAAAAATGTATAAATTCAAATAATTTTTAAAGGAATGTTAGGGGGCAAAATTCCCAATATCACAAACGAGTTGCATAACTTCTGGGAACTCTAATTTTTTATTAAGCTTAAGAAAGCTCCTACTTTTAATTATCACTACTAGAAGTAAATTATTATACGTGTAATAATTACACTTATAGTATAGTATAGTATTAGATTTTTGATGACGTCATCATATGACAAATCATTATTTTATGGTGAAAATACCTCCTATTTAAGACCCTGCGTATGATCCGTGTTATACGAGATTTTCCAGTATTTTAATGCGTTTTAGATAATTTTTGAAATATTTATTTTTATCCACAACTTCTTAAAACTTTTTTTATTCGTTGTAAGGTTTATCATATTATTATAAAAAAAAGACTAAATTATTGATTATCAGTAAAATATTTGATTATGTTTATGTAACTAACGTACCTATATTTATCTAATGTATAAGATTTTATTTTGGTTAACATTGAAAAATATTAGTATTGTGAATCTAATGAAAATTTTTTTAAAGTGCGAATATTTTTCTTTAGGTTCTAGCATTGATTATAAATACTAACCTAACCTAAATAATAGTATTTATAATCAATGGTTCTAGTAATGCATATTTTCGGATAAGAGTTGTATTTGTTAGCACATTTTAAACAACTAAATTTAAAATTTCGAATTTATTTGAAAATTACACCCATTATATAAGTTAAATAGAGTCAAGAACTAAATTTTTTTAGTATTTTTAAAGTGTAGGTTTTTATAGGATTTATTGTTTGAATTTGAGTTATCGAGGGCTATACACGCTCCATTCAAAATTAATACCAACTACCCAGATCTAACTTGATTATGAAGATCATCCATACCAATATTCAGTGTCAATTACGTAAACAGAGCTGCGTTCAACGGGGGAAAAAGAGGGTAATTGTCCCGGGGTGGCAAATTTTATGATGTTTGATGAAGCGGCAAATTTTTGAGGATCAACATAAAATAAAAAATATGAATTTTTCTTGTATGACTGTATAACTATAATACATATTATTTCTATTTTATATATTATTTTTTATTTTGAATTGTAATTTTCTTAAGGGCGGCATATTATAATTTGCCCCAGGGTGGCTACATAGCTTAACGCGGCACTGAACATAAACAATAATTTTTAAGAAAATAAACTACATTTATCTATATATTGTTTAAACAGTAAATATTGAATAATACTATGAAGTAAAATTATATTTATAATTAAACTTTAACAGTATTTACTACTAAGAAAGATAATTTTTTTACATAAAACTAAGTAACCCGAAATTTATTGTGATTTTGTTATAGTAAAAGTTAGTAAGCAAATTATTTGTCGATTATTCGCAATAACTATAATATTAAATTACATAATTTAAATTTATAAAAATTATTTTTAAGCTAATTGCTAAAAGTTAAAAATGTTATGTTTTTTCACTTTACATTTAATGAGAAAACACACTAATAAAAATATATCATGATTTTGTGTTGAAAACGATAATATTTTAAGTTTTTTAGATAAAATTTAAATTGGAAAAATGTCCTATTT